CCGAAGAGAGAATGCACTCGGCACACTGCCAGTTCCTCCCAGCCACCGTCAGGGTGGCAGCAGTGCCAAAACCTGGCCGCAGAAAGGCATCGTGGGAGACAGGGAGGAAAGAACAGAGCAGGTGCGTGGAGAAAAGGAGGATGGGTAATGTTCCTGTTGCTGAAGTAGACGAATAAGCTAGCAAATAGCTACTTGTTCACATCAAATTCACGGTGGATGGAACGAGGAGCGAGTTTGGTAAAAGGTCGTGGAAGAAATTCAGCACGAGAAACTTAATGTGGGGAGAAGCAAGTTTACAGAGGGGACGTACAGCGTTCCTTCAAGAGGAAAAAAAGAAACGCAACGAAAGGAAGGCACTGCGCTATGTGAAAAGGAGATTGCCCATTCGGGTGGAGAGGCAGGACAGGGGGTAGTGAGTGAGTACCAGAGGAGACCCCCCTATGTGCCCTTGAGCAAGTGACACATTGACCTACCTCTGGTGCAGGTCGGGAAGCCATCGATTGTGGTGTCTAGCATGTGCGTTGATGGGCAGATGCAGGTGTACCTGCCGTGCCCATCGTTGATGCATGAGCCCACCTCACAGGGGTTCTGCATGCTGGCACCGCACACATCCACTGATGGGATCAAGCAGGCAAGCAGGCAAGTGGGCAGGCAGCCACATTAAACAAGAAGACAGGGTGAGCAATCTGATGTTAGGTGTGCTGTCCCTAAGCACCCAACGCGCCGTGCATCGTGCACAGGATTGTGCACCCCTTTTGATGCACAACAAGAGCCGACTCACCATAGGCACAGGAGCGAGAGCCATCGTTATTCAGGGCCTCGACGAACGGGGGCTTGCATTTACAGGTGTTGGAGGCGCCATCTGTGGTTTCGATGCACTCGTAGCTGCCACAGGGGTTCATGACCGCGTCACCGTTGCCGGTTATGAATGACTCACGCATACAGGGGTCATCCGAATCTGATGGGCCGGGAGACGGACACGAGGGACTAACATTTTTATCGAGGAGACATTAGAACACAGGTGCGACAATCGGGCATCGGCAATCAGTTGCAAAACCGGGATGACTAGAAGAACTGCTGAACTGGCACAACTAGCCGGCTGCCAGGCACAATGAGCTATCATGGGCAAAAGATTGCAAAAGATTGCAAACTAGGCATGACTTGGTGGATTACTGGTCGACAAGCCGGGTGGCCAAGGCGAATGATTTGACCCCAGGTAGCCGTGGTCTTGTCTGAGGTGTCTCGAGCACTCACTTCTGATGATCGGGTAGATGCCAGGCAGCACGTTGATGCCACAGATGCCCTCCCCTGGCGCTATGCCCATGTGAATGTACCCCTCCGCCCCCCACTCCGTGCCCCACGAGTTGCGGATCCTCCAGAAGGGTGAAAGAGTGCGCGGGTCGGTTCTTATCCGTGCCCATGAGGAGGTAGCCTGTAACGAGTACAACGTGGTTGAGGTTGCCTGTGTAGCAATCTGGCTCGTCGTACCTGAACGACTGCAGTCACCGCAGCACAATGGGCACAAGTTGAATGGCACTAGATAAATGGGGCAAATGCAATATGGGGCAACGATGACAAGGCAGGCACACACACTTGCCCTGGAAACGAACTTAGTGACTAATGAACTTAGTACTTGAAATACTTCAGGCAGAACGTAATGAACTCGCAAAGACTAATGTATAACCATGGATCTGCCTTGTGATTCCTTAGAATGTAGAAGGAGTCTCAGGCCTCGCAGTGCACATTTTAGAAATGGCTTGCCCTCTGTGTTTGGTGCATGTATGGAGTGCATACCCCATTGTAATTGACGAAAGAGGCGGCGCTCGCCTCGATGTGAACCACGACTGGCTGCCGCCGCACCGCAAGCATGAGGCCAAAGTACCCCTTGAATGCCGTCCGCTCAAACCCAGACACGATGTAATTCCCCTGCAGGCAGAGGTACGGGTACACACAGGATAGGAAATTGGCGCTATTCGACCATGAATGATCGGCGTTCGCTTGGGTGCACTTTCTCTAGAGGACTCTCCTGGAAGAAAACAAATCGATGTGGATCGGTTCACTTTGGGAAGTTTGGAATCATTTCGCATGCTCCTTCGTCTGTCAAGGAACCATGATAGATCCATGGACCAGCAATGCGAGTCTAGAGACCGGGAATACGCATGCTAGCAAAAATGAAAGGACTGGAATACATACGGTTTCTGCTGCTGCTGCTGCTGCACGATGACGACGAGGAAGAGCGGCTTTGCCAAGAGAGGGACTGTGCCACACTGCTTTGAATAACCAGGCGACGAGAGAAGAGGAGGGCGAGCGAACGGAAGCTAAGGAGGAGGGGGAGGAATCCCAAGAAGAGGTATTCCGAAGGCCCTTCTTAGAGGCAACGAGTTTCTGAAAGGCGAGGGTGGGCGAGCCGCTCTCGCAGGAAGCCATCCTGGTGATCTCGAAGAGGGAGTCGATGGAGAGTGACGGGTACGTCTTGTTGTTGGTGGCGATGCCGTATGCCGCCTCTATGCTCGCCACCACTGCATACGCCCAACAGTCGCCTGCAGTCATGGGATGCGAGAAAGGGGGAGATGGGGCAAGGTAAAAAGGCAAGTTTGGCAGGCCCGGGACAAGATTGGGAGTGGCTAGAAAGGGGGAAAGCAACAACCCTCTAAGTTATGGCAAGCGGCTGCTAGCTATGGCAAGGCTGACAGCTCGTGTTTGCTGCCCCATATGCATTAGCTGCAAATGCTCCATGCCTCCTACGCGTCCTAGGCTGGTCTACTTAGAAGTCAACACAACAGCCACGAGTCTTACTGCAATCGCCTTGGTCCGGTGCCTCCCAGGTCGAGTCGAAGGTCCACGTGGATAAGGTGGGGATGTTCCACGAGTCCTGCCCGTCCTGTGCTGGGGAGTATCCCACGCTCACGTAGCGCGTGAACGGGCTTGCGATCGTGGGGTTAAATGTATCCACATCCAAAACCAGGCCCGTGGCTGCAGGGAGCAGGGCAATGGGCCACAGGAGTGAGTGGGTGGATAGAACGCAGCAAAAAGGGTTGCCATCAGTTCAGCTAGGCTAGAAGTACTGCTGCACAGACCGCAGCTGCAGTCACTACTGCTAAACAATAGTTGTGATGGTGCTTGATATGCAACGATGACCGCCCTCGGATTCGTGCACGCTTGTGATTTGCTACAGAAGTCACTCCTGCAAGTGACAGGCGAGGCTCTAGCCAGGAGAGGACAAGGGAAGCTGCTCAACGTACCTCTGCCATCTTCAGGCAGTTGTGGGGGCAGAGTAAATCCTGAAAGGAAACACAAAACGTACACAAAAGATGAAGGTTCTTGACATGTAGACTCGAAACATTGATAGCACATTCTGACTTTGCATCTCCCGTGTTTGCAATGGCAACGGCATGCTGCAAGCTTGCTTGCCTATGTCAATGGTTGTCGTTGCCACGAGATGCTCCTGCTCGTGCCGGGGTAGTGATGCCGCCACAAAGCCAAAGTAATACGAGTTCTTCTTCGGTGTGGGCTGGAGGAGGTCGCAGAGCGAGAGGTTCATGGAGAGCGAGGGGTTGTCCGGCTTGGTGTTGGAAGCATTAACGAACACCCTCAAGCTCTCAGACTCCCCGGGGCCATAGTCCACCCATGCGAAGTACATCCTCCCATTGTTCAGGTCCTTTGAGACGTTAGCAGTTTTCACAGAGAAGGGGCTTCCTTTCAGGTTTACCCCAACATGATTTGCGCTGGTGTCTTTGTCCTGTTTATCCAGCCACGTGTCAAACTCAACAGCCATGCTGCGTTTGTCCATCCCAGCATACCCCACTCCGCTGCCGTTGCCGCGCTTTTTTGTGGAAGAGACAACAAACGCGAGCCCGCCACCCCCAATAGCATGCTTTGGAAGCATCATGAAGGCGAAGCTGACGTTGAAGTAGAACTGGCGGCCGCAATCATCCCCGATGGTTTCATACGAGAAGAGCCTGAAGGGGACTTCATGAAAGTACTCTCCAGGGAGTGTTGATGTGCGGTTGGTGAGGGTGAACGTGGACTCGATGATAATCATGTCGGTCTGGGGGTAGCTTTGCTCTGTAAGAAGGGAGAGGATGAGAAGGAAATGCAGGAGGATGCACAGAATGTGGAGAGGAAGTGTGGAATGGAGGTCAGCAGCGGAAAGTTTGCATTACGGCATGTGAGTGCTGTCAGCTTATATGCTACTCTTGAGCCGACTAAAAATTCACAAAGTTGCAATACGGCCGTTGGAACAGAAATTGTGATAGCCCGTACAATCAAGCAGGGGATCCACTGACAAGCCATGCTGCTTTAAACTTGGTATCTTAAAATGGCAAACAGCCTCCAGATGCAGGTGTCTGGCGTCTCTCCATTGGTCTAGAGCCCACCGACAGTGTACACATGGGGTGAGACGAAGGCTATATGCGAGAATTCTAAAATCGTGCCATGCGACAACATTTACCCTTAGGGATGCAGGTGAAGGGGATCTCTCCATTGGCGTAGCCACCATCACAGACACACGTAGGCGTTTCATCCACCCCGTCCAGAATGCATGATCCGCGACCCACGCAGGGATGCATTTTGCTCGATAGCCCGCAGAACGGAGCGCACCCATTCATGGGCCGCCGAGGAAGCTTTGGGCATACGCGCTTCTTATCGAGAAAGCAGTTATTTTCAAGATAGCCCTTCTTGCAGGTCACCGAGTTTGCACGGGAGAGATAGTTGTAACGAGCGCTGAATCTGACGTTTTTTGGCAGTGGCGCAAGGGCTCCACTGAGCTTGTTGTTGTCCAATTTCCTGTGTGGTGTTGGGAGGAAAGGGTCCTGTGACACCGGAAGTGCTCTACTTCCCCTCACCATGCGAACAGAAAATGCTCTACTTCTCACGTTGTGCACAGAAGGTGCACCGAGAACAGGTGCAGGTGCATTGCGAGAGGTGAATGGAGGAACTTACAATGTGCGGAGAGCCTTCAAGGAAGTAAGTCTAGAAGGTAAGCTTCCTGAAAAACGGTTGTTACTCAGATCCCTGCATTGCCAACCGTCCATGGGTATGCATGGGCATTCATCATGTGTTAGACAGCATGTCGCATGCATAGGTTGTCCTTACACAGTACGTTGTGCAGAAAGATGGTGCATCAACCACCATTCAGTGGGTGATGTGCCGCCAAATATCTCATGCGTCTGAATCTTGGCCATCTGCCACCAAATCTTCCCCCCCCCCTCCTCAAAATCAACACCCTTCACACTCAACCACATAGCTGTTATTGGGCATGCATCCACAGGACAGAACAGGTTCAATTCAAGGCGAACCACTAAAATAACAGACATGGTATTTTCAGAACCAGGCAACGGACAAGGCAACAATGCACGAACACGAAACTTATTCACTGAGCAGCAATTCACAGCACACTAGATAATCTCACACCGCAGCTGTTCCATCGTGTTCAAATGTTCAAATCCCGGGCTAAGGCTGATAGATGAGCATGTTGAGACTCACATATACGTGAGTTTCTTCAGCGCCTTAAGATTGGGAAGCAACTGCCCCGTCATACGGTTGTCATTCATGTCCCTGCAAGGAAAAGCAGTGTGCAACAACAGTGCGGTGAGTGAGACCAAGGGATTTGGGTGCAGATGGGATTGTCTGCACGCGTCCTTCATGAAGGACTTTAGAATGGCTCACCGCTAGGCAAATACAGGCTGGCAGAAGCTTGGACTTACAACAGTAGAAGCATGGACTGAGAATGCCAGAAACGTGGACTTACAATATACTAAGCTTCGTTAAGTTCGACAAGTAGTCAGGGATGGATCCCGCAAAGGTATTGTGCGAGATATTACTGTCATGCAGAGGAAATGATATCAAGGAACAGGAGTTGACTTATTACATAAACATGGCATGAGCGCATGAGAGTGGAAGAACAGAGAAATATGGGAACAAGGGGCAGCGATGAAGTAATAGTAAGAAGGGTTTTTTTGGGTTGATGCAAAAACCGCACATAAAAAATTGGGTAACCCAAAAAAGACCAAATGAGTAAGAAGTCCTCCTAGTAAGTGTCGCAAAATTGCCGAAACCTCTGGGTGTGAATGCCCCCGATTTCAGCCACTAGGTGTGAATTGGGGGGCTTTTGCGAGGCGCGAACCTCTGGAATTTGCCACTTCGCCTGAATTTCCCCTCACAAAGCCCACCAGCCAAGTCTTCCTTGCAACCCTGAAACCCCGTATCTATGTAGCACTCGGCCTTTAAGCGGTTCGATTAGGCAGAGTTTGTGCAGTCCTCTTGCTGCATTGGAACCCACTAGAGCAAATGCCCTCCAACAGTTAACAGGAATAACAATCACACCACCAATATAGAGCACTTACAGCTTGGTAAGCTTTGTCATATTACAGACTCCATCTGGAATTTGGCCTTTGAACATGTTGTCACCAAAATCCCTGCACCAGCAAGCAGGCAGGCAATCCATAGATGGTTTCCGTCTGTTGGACGTCGTACAGAGCTACAATACAAGCCAGCTATATCAACACGCAGTTGATCTTTTAGTCGACTCAAAAATCACCTAGCAGCACGCAGTTGCAAGTTGCAACAACCATCATCCATCGGGGGCTTTCACAAAATACATCTCCATCCACATTTTGCCCTCCTACTACCCCCACTTCCTCCAAAGAATAGCCAGTGCTCCTGAGTAAAAAGGCCAAAATCCTCCTCCTGTTTTGACCAGATTCACTCACAAAATCTCTAGTCGTTGCAATGCTGAGATCGACTTTGGAATTTTACCCGTGAACGAGTTGGTATGCAAATCCCTGAGAGAAACTCACACGCATGGGTACAGAATCCAAGGCATGTTCAGTTATGCAGAGGAGGCAAAATGCTTCTATTGCATCAAAACAACGAAAGGTCACTTCACATTCTCAGATGCCTCAAAACTTGGTGCATTTGGATAGGGTTGATGGTAGTTGAAACAGGGATGGTTTTAAAGTAAAAAAAACTGTCGAACAGGGACCAGTTTTAAGTGTAAGTCTAGAGGAATAGACCATCGTTATCACACATGCCACCCGGAAGCCTAACTCCACTGAAGTGAGTGAGAAGAACAAGGCATGCAAGAAGTTGAAAGTGAGTAGACACATGGTGGGTTGGGGTCAGGCACTCGGACGTAGATGTAAGTAACCATCTCAAGAGGATGGTAAAAAGGAAGAGAGCTCATATACGGGTAAAAAACAAATCTGTCCCGATCATATAGATTTGATAGCTGTGCTGAGGGAAGGGAACCAGCTCGCCCCGTACCACTGGACTAGATTGGTAAGTCGCCCAATCGTTGTTGGAAGACTCCCACGGAATTGGCTTCCAGTAAGGTTCCTAGAGAGCAGACGATCACGGTTTGTGAAGAGGAAGACATGACAAGGTGGAAGTTGCAAATACATTGAGCACAACTGCATTCTACTAAGGATGGAAGTACAATACAGTGGATGTCGTGTGGCGGATAAAAAATGGATATCATATGGCGACCTTCCTATGCTAATGCCAGGAGGACGTGGTGCAAGCAAGGCATACCATGCAGGCGGATGGGTGTGCAGGCAGAGATGGGTGTGCACTTACAATGCGGTCAGATGGATGAGATTCCCAATAAGCGCTGGTATGCTTCCCACAACTTGAGAGCCATTTGATAACCTGTATCAATCGGCAGCATGTGGGCGAAGTGGCATGCAAGAATTCAGCAGAACCAGATCCATGCTCTCAGGAATAAAAGGCATCGCTTTTGCACAATTCTCATATGTTGCAACCCTCAAGCTTTTGCCTTGCGCTTGATTGCATGCACGTAACCATGTAGCCGCACACAGTAGCCACGTGTTTCCCTGCATTAACCAACACAGACTGACAGTGTGGTTGCCAGCAATGAGAATCCGCTTACAGGCTGATGATGTGGTTGTCAGCATCACAGGTTATGTGCTTCATCCGGGCACACGCGCTAACGCTCTTCCACGTGCCATTTCCGTTAAACCCCCCCCAGGCCTTCGTTAGTGCTTCCAGTGCAGCCCCTGTGTGTTGAGGGCGGAGGAAGAGTACGAAATGGAAATGGAGAGAGAACGATATGATTTTGCACCAGGTATGGGCAGCACACTCATGCAAGAAAACAAAATCTCACGTGTCATTCCATCATCAAAACAAGACTTACACTCTAAATCTGGGGGAAGGCCATCGCATGTTTCAAGAGTGCCTCCCCTATTGGAGTCTGACCCACACGCACACGTGGCATTGCCCAAGCCTTCCCCCCCTTTCCAGTAGCAATAACCGTGGCCAGGACAGGGCGGGGTGGAGGGAGGGGAAAGGTGGCAGAAGGCAGAGCATTTTTCTCTGGGGCGCTGGGTGTGGGTGAGGTTGCAGGGCATGGCGCTGGAGTTGAAGCAGTTGTTGTGCAGGGAGAGCAGCTGCGCTGATGAGTTGCACGTGGTGGCATTCAGACTGCTGGAGTAGAGGTAGTTATGGCTCACGTTCCTGTGGAATGAAAGAGAACGGAAATGTGGGAGAGAAGCACAGACAGTAAACTTAAATAAGGCTAATGAGTTGGTTGCATAACGGCCACTTCACCTGATGTCATGCCATGCAGTGCGCCTATTTGTTCACTAGAGGATTCCTTACAATGCCAACAGCCCTTTCGGGCTAAGCCCTTGCGAGTTGTTGACCCCTAGCGAGCTGTTGAGCCCTAGCAAGCTGTTGAGCCCACTTGGTAAAGCTCCTGACAGTTGGTTGTGTGACAAGTCCCTGCCAACATAGGAAAATCAGGAAAGGAGCCATTCATGCCAAACCAATGCAAGACTCATTGGCAGCTTATTGATGGCTGTAAAGCGAATGCCAAATCAATAAGCCATCAGTTGAGTGGCAACTCATTGAGATTTTCCAGGTTTGTGTGATCCATTATGCATCATGTCAACTCCCTTTGCAAACTCCAACGCACAAGATTCTGAGCTTCGTTAGACAGCTGATGGAGTCTGGAATGGGTCCCGCTATAGCGTTGTTGGACACATTGCTGAAGACGGAGAGTTGCGATGACAAAGGTTGTGCCAAGGGAAAGGAGGTTGGGGAATGAAGCACGGGATGTGAGGGGGGGAGGGAGGGAGGCAGAAGAAGCAAGGCCGAAGACAGCAAGTGGCAAGACGATATGCACGTGGCTCGAGGAAGCCGGCTCACACACCACACATGTGCGTCCACGTGCATGCCCACGCACATGTTTCTGCAAACACACGCTTGCACTAACCTCACAAAGTTGCATGCCATTCCTTTTGCCACACCTCCTTACGAGACAATGTTACAACTGATGCTATACGCGGATTTTAGAGGGTGGCGCTTCGGCATGGTTAGAATCAACAGCTCACTCACAGTAATGTGAGGTGCGACAGGCCTTCAATGCTGCTTGGAATAAAACCCGATATGTTTAGCCCAGAAACGTTCCTGTGAATCCAACAAAAGGAATAGGAGAAAGCTTGCGTCTTTCAAAGGCGTGCAGATGTCTGCGGAGACGTGAATCCTAGCCCCCAAGTCGGACGTCCTAGTTCCATCATACCACCACATGGGGTTGTGAGGTGAACAGTAGGAAATACGTCCAAGGGGGGAAATATGATAACAGCATGGCGCATAAAGTGATTGATATCATTGTGTGCAAGGTGCAGGAGGCATTTATCAACCAGCAAGAGGAGCGCGTTCCTTACAGTTTCTCTATGTGGTTGTACTCGTTGCACTTGACATGCAACATCTGCACACAAGAGAAGCTTTCGTTCCATGTGCCTGAGCCATTGAAGCCACCCCAGGCCACTCTCAGCGCGTCCAAAGCGAGCCCTGCACCCAGCAAGCAGATCACAAGGGTGCATGTGCGAACGTGGCTTCGTCATAAATGCATGGTCCTGGCTCTAAGCAACTTATGCATTTCCTTGGCTGAAAGAGCGCAAAAGGAGATCAAAAGAGATGGGAAATGATGGAAGGACAATCAGGTGTTTTACACTTACATTCCGATTTTGGCAATACGTTGACACATGTGCTTGAATTATCTCCGTGCCCGTACCCCTTCTTGCATGCACACGTAGCATTGCCGTCAACCAAGTGGCAGTAGCCGTGGCCGTCACAGGGCACGGTGGAGGGAGGGGAGAGGCCGCAGAAGGCGGAGCAATTTTGGCGCTGGGTGTGGGTGAGGTCGCAGGGCATGGCGCTGGAGTTGAAGCAGTTGCCCTGCAGGGAGATGGCTATCATGTCGAGGGCGGACGCATCGCACATTGTCTTGGGGAGAGTGTCAGCGTAGAAGTAGTTGTTGCTGACAGACCTCCAGGACGTGAGAACAAAGCATGTTCATGCATCAAGGGCACAGAGATGTTCGAGAAAGAAAGCACTACCTTTCAATCCAAGAGATGCTGAACATTGACCATGAAAGTTTGAACATTGATAACGTGAGAACAATCACGTCAGGCAACTTCTGAGGCGCTTCTGAAAGCATGTTTCGTCACAACATACACAATTGTGGGCGTATCGCTACAACCACGCAAGTGCGGACTGAGTGAGATATACTTCACTGTCCTAATATATATTCCTCCTTATGGATTGGAAGTACTGCGATGCAAGGAAGCAGAATGCTTGGGTGGTTGGGTCAGGGAAAGGTTTACTCACAGAGACACGAGGCTCAATAGACTGCCTAAGGCTTTCGGCAGGGTACCAGTGAAGTAGTTACCCTCCAGATTTCTGCATTATCCTCCCATCGACAATGTACACAGGGAACACTAGGCGAGATTAAGAGCTATGCAGTCCACATGTAGATACACAAACAGGTGGCTGACATCGCTTATCCGTGGTGCAAATTCTATGATGAAGTATGCAGCATATATTCAGCCACACCATGACGCATGCACTCACAGCAATTTGAGGAGAATTCACTCACAGCACACTCAGGCTCTCCAAGCCAGTGATGGCGTCTGGAATGTTTCCCCAGATGCCTTGCCAGGATACGTCACTGCCCATGCCAGGATGAGGAGGAACCGGTGAGAGGGGTACACAGGTAAAACGGGGAAACATGAAGACAAACGGAAAAAAAACATTGAAGCTAAAAAAGACAGAGCAGGCAAAAGGAGAAAGGTGGAAGAGAGGTTGATGAAAGAAAACCCAGCCAGTGGCATCCTTCAAGTTGACTCAAAGATTAAGTTTTTTGCCAGTTGTATAAAAGAGGAAAGGGGGGGGGGGGAGGGAGGAAGTAGAACTCAAACAAAGAAGTGATGGGCGCAACGATGGTTCTTACAGCGCTACAATCTGGTTGGCATCGTCACATATGACGTTATTCATTTTCTCGCAGGGGATGCCACTCTTCCATGTGCCATTGCCATCAAAGCCACCCCATGCAGCCGTTAGACTCTCCAACACAGCCCCTACAAGCAGTCACCCAAGCAGAGGACAGAAACTAATTCAACAGTAGTGTAAAGCGTACACAGCCCTGAGTATCCGTGTCACAAGCTGAGCATGCAGTGATTGTCCTCGTCCGATGGTACGAGACAAAATTGACTAGCATAACATCCCAAAAAACAGCACGCACGTAGCGACTTACATTCCGTTTGTGAGAGCAGGGGAACACATGTTGTGGACTCCTTTCCAGTATTGTACCCCTCCTTGCACGCACACATGGCAGTGCTCGCGTCGTTTTCCCCCCACTCCCAGTGGCAGTGGCCGAGGCCGGCACAGGGCGTGTCGAAGGGAGGGGAAAGGCCGCAGAAGGCGGAGCAATCTTCAGGGGGGCGCTGGGTGATGCAGGAGATGTGGCCGGTGCAGTTGTTTTCCAGGGTTGAGTCCCAGGGAATGGCGATTTCACAGTTGTTTTTTTCGCAAACTGCTGAGTCAAAGGGGATGGTGATGGTGCACGTCTTTTCCGAAAAGTCTACTGAGCCATAGGGGACGGTGATGGCGCAGTTGTCGTCCACGCAGTCTACTGAGTCGGAGGGGATGGTGAAGTGGCTTCCTAAGGAGTCTACTGAGCTGTAGGGGATGGTGATCGTGAATTTGCTTTCCAGGGAGACTACTGAGGTGCAGGGGAAGGTGATGGCGCAGTCGAGTTCCCCCCATTCTACTGAGTTGGAGGAGATGGTGATGGTGCAGTCGGTTCCCATGCATTCTACCGAGTCAGAGGGGACGCTGATGCTGCAGTCGGTTTCAGCACATTCTGCAGAGTCGGAAGGGATGTTGATGTTGCAGTCAGTTGCAGCGCATTGTACCGAGCCGGAAGGGATGGTGATGGTGCAGTCGGTTTCAGCACATTCTATAGAGTCGAAGGCTATGGTGACGGTGCAGTCAATTTCCGAGGATTCTACTGAGATGCAGGGGACGGTCAAGCCGCAGTTGATTTTTCGGCAGTGTGCGTGGCTGCAGGGGACGGCGCTGGGGGGGAAACAGTTGTTTTCCAGGGAGAGGGCGGTCAGTGTTGTGGAGGTGCATGTGGCGCTGGGCAGAGTGCCAGAGTAGAGGTAGTTGTTGCTCACATTCCTGCCAATGTAATTTTGACAGAGGGAATGCAGCAAGGTGCGTACTTGAGTGGATACTCATACCAGGGGTGGTTAACCAAAAATCAGAGCAGGGTGTTGAGACATATAGGAACAAGAAAAGGTTTTGCTCAAAAGTTCTACTGTGACAGTGGTCCTGAGCCTGTCAAGGTAGCCCCGTTTGTCAGATTGTGCATCCCAGCCAGCCAGTATATGCTTTGATCAAGTGCTCTTCTCACAACGTCTCAAGGTAGCGTTTGCTTCTGAAGGAGGATGGAATCGAGCCAGACAGCTCGTTGTACGACAAGTCCCTGTGAGGGGGTGTGATAGCATGGCCCTCCCAAAACCTGGATCCGGCAATGAGCAAATGAAGTGCCCGAGCTGTTGAAATTGACAATTGGCAGTAAAACGATTTAACCTAATTCATAATATTATAGGGAGTAGATGAAAGCAAATGTGGTAAGGTTTGAAGGGCTAGCTTGTAGATGTCTACCATGGTTCATATTATACGAAAGTTGTTTTGGGCTGATATTCTGGGGACAGAATCAACAGCTCAGAGAAGCTGACATTTTCGACAATAGCGAAGACTAAGTCAGTCTTCCACAATCGTGATCATACTATCAAGAAGAGCGAAACATCACACATGTCATGAACATCAAGTCCACAATAACAAACACCACGAACATCGCAAAGATCACTTGGGAGCTAAGAGGGTATGCATAAAGCCACATGCTCTTGAGGCTTCCCCCCGATAGTGGTGGCACACTCTCTCTTGTTCAAAGCTCTGAAATCTGCTCGCTTCCCCTTGAATTCTCTGGCAAGAAGGCTAACGCACGGTGTGTCAGCTTTAAAGTACTTCAATTTGCCTCCCCCGGAGCATTTACCCATAGAGTAGTCGTCATATTCTGCATCCACACAAACCTGCAGCCAGGGGAAAGAGTGGGAGTGTGGCTGATAATGTGAGGCAGAGGAAATGCCACAACCAACACCGCAACCCATACCCTGAGAACCTGCCAGAACCAACTTAAGAATACCATGCCAACATCCAGGCACCCAAAATCTCACCTCCACTTTCATGCTTCCACTTGCATCGCCCTTCAGGCCTTTCGCAGGATCGCACACAAGCCCCGGGTTCATTCGGTACAGGTCCACCATGGTTATACCACTCCCGGGGACATTCCCTGCATTTGTGCAGTCATCCATCTTCGTTATTATGGCAGTCTTATGGCACTTGCGGACGGGGCCCAAAGCTGTCGAGTTACGCTCGATACAAAGGGAGCGGGATGCATCGAGGCTTAAGCATTGAATGCCTGGGTTGAGCTTCTCCAAGGAGCCGCTTAACTTGAGGAACTTCTCAATTGAAGAGCAGGTGTCCGACTGGTAGAAAGAGAGTGGGGTCAGGGGAGAAGAGAGGGTTGGGGGGGAGTGTCATGAAAATAGCTCGCTGAGAGTGTGAAGCACGAGATCATTCAATGATTCCTCAAAACGCCTCAAATCTTCTCAAAATGGCGAAGCAGCAGAGCACTCGTGGGACAAGAGCAGCAGAGCACTCATGGGACAAGAGCAGCAGAGCACCGGAAAACCAAGCGCAGCACTCACTGGTAGTGTGTAGTAGAAAGCAGAGCACGCATCCACATTTGCCTTAGCCATGTTAAGCGGTTGGTTATCTGGGAGCGAATTCGAGCAGTCAATTTTCTGCAATCGCAACAGCAGGTGAGCAAAGTCTTTCCTATATTCAAGCATTCCTGCAACGGCACCAAACTCCAAACTGTACGTATGAAACTTAGGTCGTGGCGACCACAGCAAGCAACGTTAGAGAAAGGGACTTGATCACTTGTGTGTCACCAATAAAGTACAGCAGCAGAAATGGCATCATGGTGATGACACAGAGCCAGAAACCACTTGAGTTGACTCAGTTGAGAAAAGCAGAAACTTGACCCAGAGCCAGAAACCCACCACGTTATTCTGTTTAAACTCGTCTAGTGTGAGTCCGAAGAGAGAATGCACGTCGGCACACTGCCAGTTCCTCCCAGCCACCGTCAGGGTGGTAGCAGTGCTAAAACCTGGCCGCAGAAAGGCATCGTGGGAGACAGGGAGGAAAGAACAGAGCAGGTGCGTGGAGTGCAGGGGGGAAGGGGAAAAAGAGAGGGAGAGGGGAGGGAGTGAAGAAAAGGAGGATGGGTAATGTTCCTGTTGCTGAAGTAGACGAATAAGCTAGCAAATAGCTACTTGTTCACATCAAATTCACGGTGGATGGAACGAGGAGCGAGTTTGGTAAAAGGTCGTGGAAGAAATTCAGCACGAGAAACTTAATGTGGGGAGAAGCAAGTTTACAGAGGGGACGTACAGCGTTCCTTCAAGAGGAAAAAAGAAACGCAACGAAAGGAAGGCACTGCGCTATGTGAAAAGGAGATTGCCCATTCGGGTGGGAGAGGCAGGACAGGGGTAGTGAGTGAGTACCAGAGGAGACCCCCCTATGTGCCCTTGAGCAAGTGACACATTGACCTACCTCTGGTGCAGGTCGGGAAGCCATCGATTGTGGTGTCTAGCATGTGCGTTGATGGGCAGATGCAGGTGTACCTGCCGTGCCCATCGTTGATGCGTGAGCCCACCTCACAGGGGTTCTGCATGCTGGCACCGCACACATCCACTGATGGGATCAAGCAGGCAAGCAGGCAAGTGGGCAGGCAGCCACATTAAACAAGAAGACAGGGTGAGCAATCTGATGTTAGGTGTGCTGTCCCTAAGCACCCAACGCGCCGTGCATCGTGCACAGGATTGTGCACCCCTTTTGATGCACAACAAGAGCCGACTCACCATAGGCACAGGAGCGAGAGCCATCGTTATTCAGGGCCTCGACGAACGGGGGCTTGCATTTACAGGTGTTGGAGGCGCCATCTGTGGTTTCGATGCACTCGTAGCTGCCACAGGGGTTCATGACCGCGTCACCGTTGCCGGTTATGAATGACTCACGCATACAGGGGTCATCCGAATCTGATGGGCCGGGAGACGGACACGAGGGACTAACATTTTTATCGAGGAGACATTAGAACACAGGTGCGACAATCGGGCATCGGCAATCAGTTGCAAAACCGGGATGACTAGAAGAACTGCTGAACTGGCACAACTAGCCGGCTGCCAGGCACAATGAGCTATCATGGGCAAAAGATTGCAAAAGATTGCAAACTAGGCATGACTTGGTGGATTACTGGTCGACAAGCCGGGTGGCCAAGGCGAATGATTTGACCCCAGGTAGCCGTGGTCTTGTCTGAGGTGTCTCGAGCACTCACTTCTGATGATCGGGTAGATGCCAGGCAGCACGTTGATGCCACAGATGCCCTCCCCTGGCGCTATGCCCATGTGAATGTACCCCTCCGCCCCCCACTCCGTGCCCCACGAGTTGCGGATCCTCCAGAAGGGTGAAAGAGTGCGCGGTCGGTTCTTATCCGTGCCCATGAGGAGGTAGCCTGTAACGAGTACAACGTGGTTGAGGTTGCCTGTGTAGCAATCTGGCTCGTCGTACCTGAACGACTGCAGTCACCGCAGCACAATGGGCACAAGTTGAATGGCACTAGATAAATGGGGCAAATGCAATATGGGGCAACGATGACAAGGCAGGCACACACACTTGCCCTGGAAACGAACTTAGTGACTAATGAACTTAGTACTTGAAATACTTCAGGCAGAACGTAATGAACTCGCAAAGACTAATGTATAACCATGGATCTGCCTTGTGATTCCTTAGAATGTAGAAGGAGTCTCAGGCCTCGCAGTGCACATTTTAGAAATGGCTTGCCCTCTGTGTTTGGTGCATGTATGGAGTGCATACCCCATTGTAATTGACGAAAGAGGCGGCGCTCGCCTCGATGTGAACCACGACTGGCTGCCGCCGCACCGCAAGCATGAGGCCAAAGTACCCCTTGAATGCCGTCCGCTCAAACCCAGACACGATGTAATTCCCCTGCAGGCAGAGGTACGGGTACACACAGGATAGGAAATTGGCGCTATTCGACCATGAATGATCGGCGTTCGCTTGGGTGCACTTTCTCTAGAGGACTCTCCTGGAAGAAAACAAATCGATGTGGATCGGTTCACTTTGGGAAGTTTGGAATCATTTCGCATGCTCCTTCGTCTGTCAAGGAACCATGATAGATCCATGGACCAGCAATGCGAGTCTAGAGACCGGGAATACGCATGCTAGCAAAAATGAAAGGACTGGAATACATACGGTTTCTGCTGCTGCTGCTGCTGCACGATGACGACGAGGAAGAGCGGCTTTGCCAAGAGAGGGACTGTGCCACACTGCTTTGAATAACCAGGCGACGAGAGAAGAGGAGGGCGAGCGAACGGAAGCTAAGGAGGAGGGGGAGGAATCCCAAGAAGAGGTATTCCGAAGGCCCTTCTTAGAGGCAACGAGTTTCTGAAAGGCGAGGGTGGGCGAGCCGCTCTCGCAGGAAGCCATCCTGGTGATCTCGAAGAGGGAGTCGATGGAGAGTGACGGGTACGTCTTGTTGTTGGTGGCGATGCCGTATGCCGCCTCTATGCTCGCCACCACTGCATACGCCCAACAGTCGCCTGCAGTCATGGGATGCGAGAAAGGGGGAGATGGGGCAAGGTAAAAAGGCAAGTTTGGCAGGCCCGGGACAAGATTGGGAGTGGCTAGAAAGGGGGAAAGCAACAACCCTCTAAGTTATGGCAAGCGGCTGCTAGCTATGGCAAGGCTGACAGCTCGTGTTTGCTGCCCCATATGCATTAGCTGCAAATGCTCCATGCCTCCTACGCGTCCTAGGCTGGTCTACTTAGAAGTCAACACAACAGCCACGAGTCTTACTGCAATCGCCTTGGTCCGGTGCCTCCCAGGTCGAGTCGAAGGTCCACGTGGATAAGGTGGGGATGTTCCACGAGTCCTGCCCGTCCTGTGCTGGGGAGTATCCCACGCTCACGTAGCGCGTGAACGGGCTTGCGATCGTGGGGTTAAATGTATCCACATCCAAAACCAGGCCCGTGGCTGCAGGGAGCAGGGCAATGGGCCACAGGAGTGAGTGGGTGGATAGAACGCAGCAAAAAGGGTTGCCATCAGTTCAGCTAGGCTAGAAGTACTGCTGCACAGACCGCAGCTGCAGTCACTACTGCTAAACAATAGTTGTGATGGTGCTTGATATGCAACGATGACCGCCCTCGGATTCGTGCACGCTTGTGATTTGCTACAGAAGTCACTCCTGCAAGTGACAGGCGAGGCTCTAGCCAGGAGAGGACAAGGGAAGCTGCTCAACGTACCTCTGCCATCTTCAGGCAGTTGTGGGGGCAGAGTAAATCCTGAAAGGAAACACAAAACGTACACAAAAGATGAAGGTTCTTGACATGTAGACTCGAAACATTGATAGCACATTCTGACTTTGCATCTCCCGTGTTTGCAATGGCAACGGCATGCTGCAAGCTTGCTTGCCTATGTCAATGGTTGTCGTTGCCACGAGATGCTCCTGCTCGTGCCGGGGTAGTGATGCCGCCACAAAGCCAAAGTAATACGAGTTCTTCTTCGGTGTGGGCTGGAGGAGGTCGCAGAGCGAGAGGTTCATGGAGAGCGAGGGGTTGTCCGGCTTGGTGTTGGAAGCATTAACGAACACCCTCAAGCTCTCAGACTCCCCGGGGCCATAGTCCACCCATGCGAAGTACATCCTCCCATTGTTCAGGTCCTTTGAGACGTTAGCAGTTTTCACAGAGAAGGGGCTTCCTTTCAGGTTTACCCCAACATGATTTGCGCTGGTGTCTTTGTCCTGTTTATCCAGCCACGTGTCAAACTCAACAGCCATGCTGCGTTTGTCCATCCCAGCATACCCCACTCCGCTGCCGTTGCCGCGCTTTTTTGTGGAAGAGACAACAAACGCGAGCCCGCCACCCCCAATAGCATGCTTTGGAAGCATCATGAAGGCGAAGCTGACGTTGAAGTAGAACTGGCGGCCGCAATCATCCCCGATGGTTTCATACGAGAAGAGCCTGAAGGGGACTTCATGAAAGTACTCTCCAGGGAGTGTTGATGTGCGGTTGGTGAGGGTGAACGTGGACTCGATGATAATCATGTCGGTCTGGGGGTAGCTTTGCTCTGTAAGAAGGGAGAGGATGAGAAGGAAATGCAGGAGGATGCACAGAATGTGGAGAGGAAGTGTGGAATGGAGGTCAGCAGCGGAAAGTTTGCATTACGGCATGTGAGTGCTGTCAGCTTATATGCTACTCTTGAGCCGACTAAAAATTCACAAAGTTGCAATACGGCCGTTGGAACAGAAATTGTGATAGCCCGTACAATCAAGCAGGGGATCCACTGACAAGCCATGCTGCTTTAAACTTGGTATCTTAAAATGGCAAACAGCCTCCAGATGCAGGTGTCTGGCGTCTCTCCATTGGTCTAGAGCCCACCGACAGTGTACACATGGGGTGAGACGAAGGCTATATGCGAGAATTCTAAAATCGTGCCATGCGACAACATTTACCCTTAGGGATGCAGGTGAAGGGGATCTCTCCATTGGCGTAGCCACCATCACAGACACACGTAGGCGTTTCATCCACCCCGTCCAGAATGCATGATCCGCGACCCACGCAGGGATGCATTTTGCTCGATAGCCCGCAGAACGGAGCGCACCCATTCATGGGCCGCCGAGGAAGCTTTGGGCATACGCGCTTCTTATCGAGAAAGCAGTTATTTTCAAGATAGCCCTTCTTGCAGGTCACCGAGTTTGCACGGGAGAGATAGTTGTAACGAGCGCTGAATCTGACGTTTTTTGGCAGTGGCGCAAGGGCTCCACTGAGCTTGTTGTTGTCCAATTTCCTGTGTGGTGTTGGGAGGAAAGGGTCCTGTGACACCGGAAGTGCTCTACTTCCCCTCACCATGCGAACAGAAAATGCTCTACTTCTCACGTTGTGCACAGAAGGTGCACCGAGAACAGGTGCAGGTGCATTGCGAGAGGTGAATGGAGGAACTTACAATGTGCGGAGAGCCTTCAAGGAAGTAAGTCTAGAAGGTAAGCTTCCTGAAAAACGGTTGTTACTCAGATCCCTGCATTGCCAACCGTCCATGGGTATGCATGGGCATTCATCATGTGTTAGACAGCATGTCGCATGCATAGGTTGTCCTTACACAGTACGTTGTGCAGAAAGATGGTGCATCAACCACCATTCAGTGGGTGATGTGCCGCCAAATATCTCATGCGTCTGAATCTTGGCCATCTGCCACCAAATCTTCCCCCCCCCCTCCTCAAAATCAACACCCTTCACACTCAACCACATAGCTGTTATTGGGCATGCATCCACAGGACAGAACAGGTTCAATTCAAGGCGAACCACTAAAATAACAGACATGGTATTTTCAGAACCAGGCAACGGACAAGGCAACAATGCACGAACACGAAACTTATTCACTGAGCAGCAATTCACAGCACACTAGATAATCTCACACCGCAGCTGTTCCATCGTGTTCAAATGTTCAAATCCCGGGCTAAGGCTGATAGATGAGCATGTTGAGACTCACATATACGTGAGTTTCTTCAGCGCCTTAAGATTGGGAAGCAACTGCCCCGTCATACGGTTGTCATTCATGTCCCTGCAAGGAAAAGCAGTGTGCAACAACAGTGCGGTGAGTGAGACCAAGGGATTTGGGTGCAGATGGGATTGTCTGCACGCGTCCTTCATGAAGGACTTTAGAATGGCTCACCGCTAGGCAAATACAGGCTGGCAGAAGCTTGGACTTACAACAGTAGAAGCATGGACTGAGAATGCCAGAAACGTGGACTTACAATATACTAAGCTTCGTTAAGTTCGACAAGTAGTCAGGGATGGATCCCGCAAAGGTATTGTGCGAGATATTACTGTCATGCAGAGGAAATGATATCAAGGAACAGGAGTTGACTTATTACATAAACATGGCATGAGCGCATGAGAGTGGAAGAACAGAGAAATATGGGAACAAGGGGCAGCGATGAAGTAATAGTAAGAAGGGTTTTTTTGGGTTGATGCAAAAACCGCACATAAAAAATTGGGTAACCCAAAAAAGACCAAATGAGTAAGAAGTCCTCCTAGTAAGTGTCGCAAAATTGCCGAAACCTCTGGGTGTGAATGCCCCCGATTTCAGCCACTAGGTGTGAATTGGGGGGCTTTTGCGAGGCGCGAACCTCTGGAATTTGCCACTTCGCCTGAATTTCCCCTCACAAAGCCCACCAGCCAAGTCTTCCTTGCAACCCTGAAACCCCGTATCTATGTAGCACTCGGCCTTTAAGCGGTTCGATTAGGCAGAGTTTGTGCAGTCCTCTTGCTGCATTGGAACCCACTAGAGCAAATGCCCTCCAACAGTTAACAGGAATAACAATCACACCACCAATATAGAGCACTTACAGCTTGGTAAGCTTTGTCATATTACAGACTCCATCTGGAATTTGGCCTTTGAACATGTTGTCACCAAAATCCCTGCACCAGCAAGCAGGCAGGCAATCCATAGATGGTTTCCGTCTGTTGGACGTCGTACAGAGCTACAATACAAGCCAGCTATATCAACACGCAGTTGATCTTTTAGTCGACTCAAAAATCACCTAGCAGCACGCAGTTGCAAGTTGCAACAACCATCATCCATCGGGGCTTTCACAAAATACATCTCCATCCACATTTTGCCCTCCTACTACCCCCACTTCCTCCAAAGAATAGCCAGTGCTCCTGAGTAAAAAGGCCAAAATCCTCCTCCTGTTTTGACCAGATTCACTCACAAAATCTCTAGTCGTTGCAATGCTGAGATCGACTTTGGAATTTTACCCGTGAACGAGTTGGTATGCAAATCCCTGAGAGAAACTCACACGCATGGGTACAGAATCCAAGGCATGTTCATTCAGTTATGCAGAGGAGGCCAAAATGCTTCTATTGCATCAAAACAACGAAAGGTCACTTCACATTCTCAGATGCCTCAAAACTTGGTGCATTTGGATAGGGTTGATGGTAGTTGAAACAGGGATGGTTTTAAAGTAAAAAAAACTGTCGAACAGGGACCAGTTTTAAGTGTAAGTCTAGAGGAATAGACCATCGTTATCACACATGCCACCCGGAAGCCTAACTCCACTGAAGTGAGTGAGAAGAACAAGGCATGCAAGAAGTTGAAAGTGAGTAGACACATGGTGGGTTGGGGTCAGGCACTCGGACGTAGATGTAAGTAACCATCTCAAGAGGATGGTAAAAAGGAAGAGAGCTCATATACGGGTAAAAAACAAATCTGTCCCGATCATATAGATTTGATAGCTGTGCTGAGGGAAGGGAACCAGCTCGCCCCGTACCACTGGACTAGATTGGTAAGTCGCCCAATCGTTGTTGGAAGACTCCCACGGAATTGGCTTCCAGTAAGGTTCCTAGAGAGCAGACGATCACGGTTTGTGAAGAGGAAGACATGACAAGGTGGAAGTTGCAAATACATTGAGCACAACTGCATTCTACTAAGGATGGAAGTACAATACAGTGGATGTCGTGTGGCGGATAAAAAATGGATATCATATGGCGACCTTCCTATGCTAATGCCAGGAGGACGTGGTGCAAGCAAGGCATACCATGCAGGCGGATGGGTGTGCAGGCAGAGATGGGTGTGCACTTACAATGCGGTCAGATGGATGAGATTCCCAATAAGCGCTGGTATGCTTCCCACAACTTGAGAGCCATTTGATAACCTGTATCAATCGGCAGCATGTGGGCGAAGTGGCATGCAAGAATTCAGCAGAACCAGATCCATGCTCTCAGGAATAAAAGGCATCGCTTTTGCACAATTCTCATATGTTGCAACCCTCAAGCTTTTGCCTTGCGCTTGATTGCATGCACGTAACCATGTAGCCGCACACAGTAGCCACGTGTTTCCCTGCATTAACCAACACAGACTGACAGTGTGGTTGCCAGCAATGAGAATCCGCTTACAGGCTGATGATGTGGTTGTCAGCATCACAGGTTATGTGCTTCATCCGGGCACACGCGCTAACGCTCGTCCACGTGCCATTTCCGTTAAACCCCCCCCAGGCCTTCGTTAGTGCTTCCAGTGCAGCCCCTGTGTGTTGAGGGCGGAGGAAGAGTACGAAATGGAAATGGAGAGAGAACGATATGATTTTGCACCAGGTATGGGCAGCACACTCATGCAAGAAAACAAAATCTCACGTGTCATTCCATCATCAAAACAAGACTTACACTCTAAATCTGGGGGAAGGCCATCGCATGTTTCAAGAGTGCCTCCCCTATTGGAGTCTGACCCACACGCACACGTGGCATTGCCCAAGCCTTCCCCCCCTTTCCAGTAGCAATAACCGTGGCCAGGACAGGGCGGGGTGGAGGGAGGGGAAAGGTGGCAGAAGGCAGAGCATTTTTCTCTGGGGCGCTGGGTGTGGGTGAGGTTGCAGGGCATGGCGCTGGAGTTGAAGCAGTTGTTGTGCAGGGAGAGCAGCTGCGCTGATGAGTTGCACGTGGTGGCATTCAGACTGCTGGAGTAGAGGTAGTTATGGCTCACGTTCCTGTGGAATGAAAGAGAACGGAAATGTGGGAGAGAAGCACAGACAGTAAACTTAAATAAGGCTAATGAGTTGGTTGCATAACGGCCACTTCACCTGATGTCATGCCATGCAGTGCGCCTATTTGTTCACTAGAGGATTCCTTACAATGCCACAGCCCTTTCGGGCTAAGCCCTTGCGAGTTGTTGACCCCTAGCGAGCTGTTGAGCCCTAGCAAGCTGTTGAGCCCACTTGGTAAAGCTCCTGACAGTTGGTTGTGTGACAAGTCCCTGCCAACATAGGAAAATCAGGAAAGGAGCCATTCATGCCAAACCAATGCAAGACTCATTGGCAGCTTATTGATGGCTGTAAAGCGAATGCCAAATCAATAAGCCATCAGTTGAGTGGCAACTCATTGAGATTTTCCAGGTTTGTGTGATCCATTATGCATCATGTCAACTCCCTTTGCAAACTCCAACGCACAAGATTCTGAGCTTCGTTAGACAGCTGATGGAGTCTGGAATGGGTCCCCGCTATAGCGTTGTTGGACACATTGCTGAAGACGGAGAGTTGCGATGACAAAGGGTGTGCCAAGGGAAAGGAGGTTGGGGGAATGAAGCACGGGATGTGAGGGGGGGAGGGAGGGAGGCAGAAGAAGCAAGGCCGAAGACAGCAAGTGGCAAGACGATATGCACGTGGCTCGAGGAAGCCGGCTCACACACCACACATGTGCGTCCACGTGCATGCCCACGCACATGTTTCTGCAAACACACGCTTGCACTAACCTCACAAAGTTGCATGCCATTCCTTTTGCCACACTCCTTACGAGACAATGTTACAACTGATGCTATACGCGGATTTTAGAGGGTGGCGCTTCGGCATGGTTAGAATCAACAGCTCACTCACAGTAATGTGAGGTGCGACAGGCCTTCAATGCTGCTTGGAATAAAACCCGATATGTTTAGCCCAGAAACGTTCCTGTGAATCCAACAAAAGGAATAGGAGAAAGCTTGCGTCTTTCAAAGGCGTGCAGATGTCTGCGGAGACGTGAATCCTAGCCCCCAAGTCGGACGTCCTAGTTCCATCATACCACCACATGGGGTTGTGAGGTGAACAGTAGGAAATACGCCCAAGGGGGGAAATATGATAACAGCATGGCGCATAAAGTGATTGATATCATTGTGTGCAAGGTGCAGGAGGCATTTATCAACCAGCAAGAGGAGCGCGTTCCTTACAGTTTCTCTATGTGGTTGTACTCGTTGCACTTGACATGCAACATCTGCACACAAGAGAAGCTTTCGTTCCATGTGCCTGAGCCATTGAAGCCACCCCAGGCCACTCTCAGCGCGTCCAAAGCGAGCCCTGCACCCAGCAAGCAGATCACAAGGGTGCATGTGCGAACGTGGCTTCGTCATAAATGCATGGTCCTGGCTCTAAGCAACTTATGCATTTCCTTGGCTGAAAGAGCGCAAAAGGAGATCAAAAGAGATGGGAAATGATGGAAGGACAATCAGGTGTTTTACACTTACATTCCGATTTTGGCAATACGTTGACACATGTGCTTGAATTATCTCCGTGCCCGTACCCCTTCTTGCATGCACACGTAGCATTGCCGTCAACCAAGTGGCAGTAGCCGTGGCCGTCACAGGGCACGGTGGAGGGAGGGGAGAGGCCGCAGAAGGCGGAGCAATTTTGGCGCTGGGTGTGGGTGAGGTCGCAGGGCATGGCGCTGGAGTTGAAGCAGTTGCCCTGCAGGGAGATGGCTATCATGTCGAGGGCGGACGCATCGCACATTGTCTTGGGGAGAGTGTCAGCGTAGAAGTAGTTGTTGCTGACAGACCTCCAGGACGTGAGAACAAAGCATGTTCATGCATCAAGGCACAGAGATGTTCGAGAAAGAAAGCACTACCTTTCAATCCAAGAGATGCTGAACATTGACCATGAAAGTTTGAACATTGATAACGTGAACAATCACGTCAGGCAACTTCTGAGGCGCTTCTGAAAGCATGTTTCGTCACAACATACACAATTGTGGGCGTATCGCTACAACCACGCAAGTGCGGACTGATGAGATATACTTCACTGTCCTAATATATATTCCTCCTTATGGATTGGAAGTACTGCGATGCAAGGAAGCAGAATGCTTGGGTGGTTGGGTCAGGGAAAGGTTTACTCACAGAGACACGAGGCTCAATAGACTGCCTAAGGCTTTCGGCAGGGTACCAGTGAAGTAGTTACCTCCAGATTCCTGCATTATCCTCCCATCGACAATGTACACAGGGAACACTAGGCGAGATTAAGAGCTATGCAGTCCACATGTAGATACACAAACAGGTGGCTGACATCGCTTATCCGTGGTGCAAATTCTATGATGAAGTATGCAGCATATATTCAGCCACACCATGACGCATGCACTCACAGCAATTTGAGGAGAATTCACTCACAGCACACTCAGGCTCTCCAAGCCAGTGATGGCGTCTGGAATGTTTCCCCAGATGCCTTGCCAGGATACGTCACTGCCCATGCCAGGATGAGGAGGAACCGGTGAGAGGGTACACAGGTAAAACGGGGAAACATGAAGACAAACGGAAAAAAAACATTGAAGCTAAAAAGACAGAGCAGGCAAAAGGAGAAAGGTGGAAGAGAGGTTGATGAAAGAAAACCCAGCCAGTGGCATCCTTCAAGTTGACTCAAAGATTAAGTTTTTTGCCAGTTGTATAAAAGAGGAAAGGGGGGGGGGGAGGGAGGAAGTAGAACTCAAACAAAGAAGTGATGGGCGCAACGATGGTTCTTACAGCGCTACAATCTGGTTGGCATCGTCACATATGACGTTATTCATTTTCTCGCAGGGGATGCCACTCTTCCATGTGCCATTGCCATCAAAGCCACCCCATGCAGCCGTTAGACTCTCCAACACAGCCCCTACAAGCAGTCACCCAAGCAGAGGACAGAAACTAATTCAACAGTAGTGTAAAGCGTACACAGCCCTGAGTATCCGTGTCACAAGCTGAGCATGCAGTGATTGTCCTCGTCCGATGGTACGAGACAAAATTGACTAGCATAACATCCCAAAAAACAGCACGCACGTAGCGACTTACATTCCGTTTGTGAGAGCAGGGGAACACATGTTGTGGACTCCTTTCCAGTATTGTACCCCTCCTTGCACGCACACATGGCAGTGCTCGCGTCGTTTTCCCCCCACTCCCAGTGGCAGTGGCCGAGGCCGGCACAGGGCGTGTCGAAGGGAGGGGAAAGGCCGGAGAAGGCGGAGCAATCTTCAGGGGGGCGCTGGGGGATGCAGGAGATGTGGCCGGTGCAGTTGTTTTCCAGGGTTGAGTCCCAGGGAATGGCGATTTCACAGTTGTTTTTTTCGCAAACTGCTGAGTCAAAGGGGATGGTGATGGTGCACGTCTTTTCCGAAAAGTCTACTGAGCCATAGGGGACGGTGATGGCGCAGTTGTCGTCCACGCAGTCTACTGAGTCGGAGGGGATGGTGAAGTGGCTTCCTAAGGAGTCTACTGAGCTGTAGGGGATGGTGATCGTGAATTTGCTTTCCAGGGAGACTACTGAGGTGCAGGGGAAGGTGATGGCGCAGTCGAGTTCCCCCCATTCTACTGAGTTGGAGGAGATGGTGATGGTGCAGTCGGTTCCCATGCATTCTACCGAGTCAGAGGGGACGCTGATGCTGCAGTCGGTTTCAGCACATTCTGCAGAGTCGGAAGGGATGTTGATGTTGCAGTCAGTTGCAGCGCATTGTACCGAGCCGGAAGGGATGGTGATGGTGCAGTCGGTTTCAGCACATTCTACAGAGTCGAAGGCTATGGTGACGGTGCAGTCAATTTCCGAGGATTCTACTGAGATGCAGGGGACGGTCAAGCCGCAGTTGATTTTTCGGCAGTGTGCGTGGCTGCAGGGGACGGCGCTGGGGGGGAAACAGTTGTTTTCCAGGGAGAGGGCGGTCAGTGTTCTGGAGGTGCATGTGGCGCTGGGCAGAGTGCCAGAGTAGAGGTAGTTGTTGCTCACATTCCTGCCAATGTAATTTTGACAGAGGGAATGCAGCAAGGTGCGTACTTGAGTGGATACTCATACCAGGGGTGGTTAACCAAAAATCAGAGCAGGGTGTTGAGACATATAGGAACAAGAAAAGGTTTTGCTCAAAAGTTCTACTGTGACAGTGGTCCTGAGCCTGTCAAGGTAGCCCCGTTTGTCAGATTGTGCATCCCAGCCAGCCAGTATATGCTTTGATCAAGTGCTCATCTCACAACGTCTTAAGGTAGCGTAGGCTTCTGAAGGAGGATAGAATCGAGCCAGACAGCTCGTTGTACGACAAGTCCCTGTGAGGGGGTGTGATAGCATGGCCCTCCCAAAACCTGGATCCGGCAATGAGCAAATGAAGTGCCCGAGCTGTTGAAATTGAAAATTGGCAGTAAAACGATTTAACCTAATTCATAATATTATAAGGAGTAGATGAAAGCAAATGTGGTAAGGTTTGAAGGGCTAGCTTGTAGATGCCTACCATGGTTCATATTACACGAAAGTTGTTTTGGGCTGATATTCTGGGGACGGAATCAACAGCTCAGAGAAGCTGACAATTTCGACAATAGCGAAGACTAAACAAGTCTTGCACAATCGTGATCATACTATCAAGAAGAGCGAAAACATCACACATGTCATGAACATCAAGTCCACAATAACAAACACCACGAACATCGCAAAGATCACTTGGGAGCTAAGAGGGTATGCATAAAGCCACATGCTCTTGAGGCTTCCCCCCGATAGTGGTGGCACACTCTCTCTTGTTCAAAGCTCTGAAATCTGCTCGCTTCCCCTTGAATTCTCTGGCAAGAAGGCTAACGCACGGTGTGTCAGCTTTAAAGTACTTCAATTTGCCTACGGAGCATTTACCCATAGAGTAGTTGTCATATTCTGCATCCACACAAACCTGCAGCCAGGGGAAAGAGTGGGAGTGTGGCTGATAATGTGTGAGGCAGAGGAAATGCCACAACCAACACCACAACCCATACCCTGAGAACCTGCCAGAACCAACTTAAGAATACCATGCCAACATCCAGGCACCCATAATCTCACCTCCACTTTCATGCTTCCACTTGCATCGCCCTTCAGGCCTTTCGCAGGATCGCACACAAGCCCCGGGTTCATTCGGTACAGGTCCACCATGGTTATACCACTCCCGAGGGCATTCCCTGCGTTTGTGCAGTCATCCATCTTCGTTATTATGGCAGTCTTATGGCACTTGCGGACGGGGCCCAAAGCTGTCGAGTTACGCTCGATACAAAGGGAGCGGGATGCATCGAGGCTTAAGCATTGAATGCCTGGGTTGAGCTTCTCCAAGGAGCCGCTTAACTTGAGGAACGTCTCAATTGAAGAGCAGGTGTCCGACTGGTAGAAAGAGAGTGGGGTCAGGGGAGAAGAGAGGGTTGGGGGGTAGTGTCATGAAAATAGCTCGCTGAGAGTGTGAAGCACGCGATCATTCAATGATTCCTCAAAACGCCTCAAATCTTCTCAAAATGGCGAAGCAGCAGAGCACTCGTGGGACATGAGCAGCAGAGCACTCGTGGGACAAGAGCAGCAGAGCACTCGTGGGACAAGAGCAGCAGAGCACTCGTGGGACAAGAGCAGCAGAGCACTCGTGGGACAAGAGCAGCAGAGCACTCGTGGGACAAGAGAGAGCAGCAGAGCACTCGTGGGACAAGAGCAGCAGAGCACTCGTGGGACAAGAGCAGCAGAGCACTCGTGGGACAAGAGCAGCAGAGCACTCGTGGGACAAGAGCAGCAGAGCACTCGTGGGACAAGAGCAGCAGAGCACTCGTGGGACAAGAGCAGCAGAGCACTCGTGGGACAAGAGCAGCAGAGCACCGGCAAACCAAGCGCAGCACTCACTGGTAGTGTGTAGTAGAAAGCAGAGCACGCATCCACATTTGCCTTAGCCATGTTAAGCGGTTGGTTCCATGGGAGCCGATCCGAGCAGTCAATTTTCTGCAATCGCAACAGCAGGTGAGCAAAGTCTTTCCTACATTCAAGCATTCCTGCCACGGCACCAAACTCCAAACTGTACGTATGCAACTTAGGTCGTGGCGACCACAGCAAGCAACGTTAGATAAAGAGACTTGATCACTTGTGTGTCACCAATAATGTACAGCAGATTAATCAGCTGCAGAAATGGCATCATGGTGAGAAATATGACACAGAGCCAGAAACCACTTGAGTTGACTCAGTTGAGAAAAGCAGAAACTTGACCCAGAGCCAGAAACCCACCACGTTATTATGTTTAAACTCGTCTAGTGTGAGTCCGAAGAGAGAATGCACGTCGGCACAATGCCAGTTGCTCCCAGCCACCATCAGGGTGGTAGCAGTGCCAAAACCTGGCCGCAGAAAGGCATCGTGGGAGACAGGGAGGAAAGAACAGAGCAGGAGCGTGGAGTGCAGGGGGGAAGGGGAAAAAGAGAGGGAGAGGGGAGGTAGTGAAGAAAGGAGGATGGGTTATGTTCCTGTTGCTGATGTAGACGAATAAGCTAGCAAAGAGCTACTTGTTCACATCAAATTCACGGTGGATGGAACGAAGAGCGAGTTTGGTAAAAGGTCGTGGAAGAAATTCAGCGTGAGAAACTTCCAAGTTTACAGAGTGGACGTACAGCGTTCCTTCAAGAGGAAAAAAGAAACGCAACGAAAGGAAGGCACTGCGCTATGTGAAAAGGAGATTGCCCCTTCGGGTGGGAGAGGCAGGACAGGGGTAGTGAGTGAGTACCAGAGGAGACCCCCCTATGTGCCCTTGAGCAAGTGACACATTGACCTACCTCTGGTGCAGGTCGGGAAGCCATCGATTGTGGTGTCTAGCATGTGCGTTGATGGGCAGATGCAGGTGTACCTGCCCTGTCCATCGTTGATGCATGAGCCCACCTCACAGGGGTTCTGCATGCTGGCACTGCACACATCCACTGATGGGATCGAGCAGGCAAGCAGGCAAGTGGGCAGACAGCCACATTAAACAAGAAGACAGGGGGAGCAATCTGATGTTAGGTGTGCTGTCCCTAAGCACCCACTGACAACGCACCGCGCATCGTGCACAGGATTGTGCACCCCTTTTGATGCACAACAAGAGCCGACTCACCATAGGCACAGGAGCGAGAGCCATCGTTATTCAGGGCCTCGACGAACGGGGGCTTGCATCCACAGGTGTTGGAGGCGCCATCTGCGGTTTCGATGCACTCGTAGCTGCCACAGGGGTTCATGACCGCGTCACCGTTGCCGGTTATGAATGACTCACGCATACAGGGGTCATCCGAATCTGATGGGCCGGGAGACGGACACGAGGGACTAACATTTTTATTGAGGAGACATTAGAACACAGGTGCGACTATCGGGCATCGGCAATCAGTTGCAAAACCGGGATGACTAGAAGAACTGCTGAACTGGCACAACTAGCCGGCTGCCAGGCACAATGAGCTATCATGGGCAAAAGATTGCAAACTAGGCATGACTTGGTGGATTACTGGTCGACAAGCCAGGTGGCCAAGGCGAATGATTTGACCCCAGGTAGCCGTGGTCTTGTCTGAGGTGTCTCGAGCACTCACTTCTGATGATCGGGTAGATGCCAGGCAGCACGTTGATGCCACAGATGCCCTCCCCTGGCGCTATGCCCATGTGAATGTACCCCTCCGCCCCCCACTCCGTGCCCCACGAGTTGCGGATCCTCCAGAAGGGTGAAAGAGTGCGCGGTCGGTTCTTATCCGTGCCCATGAGGAGGTAGCCTGTAACGAGTACAACGTGGTTGAGGTTGCCTGTGTAGCAATCTGGCTCGTCGTACCTGAACGACTGCAGACACCGCAGCACAATGGGCACAAGTTGAATGGCACTAGATAAATGGGGCAAATGCAATATGGGGCAACGATGACAAGGCAGGCACACACACTTGCCCTGGAAACGAACTTAGTGACTAATGAACTTAGTACTTGAAGTACTTCAGGCAGAACGTAATGAACTCGCAAAGACTAATGTATAACCATGGATCTGCCTTGTGATTCCTTAGAATGTAGAAGGAGTCTCAGGCCTCGCAGTGCACATTTTAGAAATGGCTTGCCCTTTGTGTTTGGTGCATGTATGGAGTGCATACCCCATTGTAATTGACGAAAGAGGCGGCGCTCGCCTCGATGTGAACCACGACTGGCTGCCGCCGCACCGCAAGCATGAGGCCAAAGTACCCCTTGAATGCCGTCCGCTCAAACCCAGACACGATGTAATTCCCCTGCAGGCAGAGGTACGGGTACACACAGGATAGGAAATTGGCGCTATTCGACCATGAATGATCGGCGTTTGCTTGGGTGCACTTTCTCTAGAGGACTCTCCTGGAAAAAAACAAATCGATGTGGATCGGTTCACTTTGGGAAGTTTGGAATCATTTCGCATGCTCCTTCGTCTGTCAAGGAACCATGATAGATCCATGGACCAGCAATGCGAGTCTAGAGACCGGGAATACGCATGCTAGCAAAAATGAAAGGACTGGAATACATACGGTTTCTGCTACTGCTGCTGCTGCACGATGACGACGAGGAAGAGCGGCTTTGCCAAGGGAGGGACTGTGCCACACTGCTTTGAATAACCAGGCGACGAGAGAAGAGGAGGGCGAGCGAACGGAAGCCAAGGAGGAGGGGGAGGAATCCCAAGAAGAGGTATTCCGAAGGCCCTTCTTAGAGGCAACGAGTTTCTGAAAGGCGAGGGTGGGCGAGCCGCTCTCGCAGGAAGCCATCCTGGTGACCTCGAAGAGGGAGTTGATGGAGAGCGACGGGTACATCTTGTTGTTGGTGGCGATGCCGTATGCCGCCTCTATGCTCGCCACCACTGCATACGCCCAACAGTCGCCTGCAGTCATGGGATGCGACAAAGGGGGAGATGGGGCATGGTGAAAAGGCAAGTTAGGCACGCCCAGGACAAGATTGGGAGTGGCTAGAAAGGGGGAAAGCAACAACCCTCTAAGTTATGGCAAGCAGCTGCTAGCTATGGCAAGGCTGACAGCTCGTGTTTGCTGCCCCATATGCATTAGCTGCAAATGCTCCATGCCTCCTACGCGTCCTAGGCTGGTCTACTTAGAAGTCAACACAACAGCCACGAGTCTTACTGCAATCGCCTTGGTCCGGTGCCTCCCAGGTCGAGTCCAAGGTCCACGTGGATAAGGTGGGGATGTTCCACGAGTCCTGCCCGTCCTGTGCTGGGGAGTATCCCACGCTCACGTAGCGCGTGAACGGGCTTGCGATCGTGGGGTTAAATGTATCCACATCCAAAACCAGGCCCGTGGCTGCAGGGAGCAGGGCAATGGGCCACAGGAGTGAGTGGGTGGATAGAACGCAGCAAAAAGGGTTGCCATCAGTTCAGCTAGGCTAGAAGTACTGCTGCACAGACCGCAGCTGCAGTCACTACTGCTAAACAATAGTTGTGATGGTGCTTGATATGCAACGATGACCACCCTCGGATTCGTGCACGCTTGTGATTTGCTACAGAAGTCACTCCTGCAAGTGACAGGCGAGGCTCTAGCCAGGAGAGGACAAGGGAAGCTGCTCAACGTACCCCTGCCATCTTCAGGCAGTGCTGGGGGCAGAGTAAATCCTGAAAGGAAACACAAAACGTACACAAAAGATGAAGGTTCTTGACATGTAGACTCGAAACATTGATAGCACATTCTGACTTTGCATCTCCCGTGTTTGCAATGGCAACGGCATGCTGCAAGCTTGCTTGCCTATGTCAATGGTTGTCGTTGCCACGAGATGCTCCTGCTCGTGCCGGGGTAGTGATGCCGCCACAAAGCCAAAGTAATACGAGTTCTTCTTCGGTGTGGGCTGGAGGAGGTCGCAGAGCGAGAGGTTCATGGAGAGCGAGGGGTTGTCCGGCTTGGTGTTGGAAGCATTAACGAACACCCTCAAGCTCTCAGACTCCCCGGGGCCATAGTCCACCCATGCGAAGTACATCCTCCCATTGTTCAGGTCCTTTGAGACGTTAGCAGTTTTCACAGAGAAGGGGCTTCCTTTCAGGTTTACCCCAACATGATTTGCGCTGGTGTCTTTGTCCTGTTTATCCAGCCACGTGTCAAACTCAACAGCCATGCTGCGTTTGTCCATCCCAGCATACCCCACTCCGCTGCCGTTGCCGCGCTTTTTTGTGGAAGAGACAACAAACGCGAGCCCGCCACCCCCAGTAGCGAGCTTTGGAAGCATCATGAAGGCGAAGCTGACGTTGAAGTAGAACTGGCGGCCGCAATCATTCCCGATGGTTTCATACGAGAAGAGCCTGAAGGGGACTTCATAAAAGTACTCTCCAGGGAGTGTTGATGTGCGGTTTGTGAGGGTGAACGTGGACTCGATGATAATCATGTCGGTCTGGGGGTAGCTTTGCTCTGTAAGAAGGGAGAGGATGAGAAGGAAATGCAGGAGGATGCACAGAATGTGGAGAGGAAGTGTGGAATGGAGGTCAGCAGCGGAAAGTTTGCATTACGGCATGTGAGTGCTGTCAGCTTATATGCTACTCTTGAGCCGACTAAAAATTCACAAAGTTGCAATACGGCCGTTGGAACAGAAATTGTGATAGCCCGTACAATCAAGCAGGGGATCCACTGACAAGCCATGCTGCTTTAAACTTGGTATCTTAAAATGGCAAACAGCCTCCAGATGCAGGTGTCTGGCGTCTCTCCATTGGTCTAGAGCCCACCGACAGTGTACACATGGGGTGAGACGAAGGCTACATGCGAGAATCCTAAAATCGTGCCATGCGACAACATTTACCCTCCGGGATGCAGGTGAAGGGGATCTCTCCATTGGCGTAGCCACCATCACAGACACACGTAGGCGTTTCATCCACCCCGTCCAGAACGCATGATCCGCGACCCACGCAGGGATGCATTTTGCTCGATAGCCCGCAGAACGGAGCGCACTCATTCATGGGCCGCCGAGGAAGCTTTGGGCATACGCGCTTCTTATCGAGAAAGCAGTTATTTTCAAGATAGCCCTTCTTGCAGGTCACCGAGTTTGCACGGGAGAGATAGTTGTAACGAGCGCTGAATCTGACGTTTTTTGGCAGTGGCGCAAGGGCTCCACTGAGCTTGTTGTTGTCCAATTTCCTGTGTGGTGTTGGGAGGAAAGGGTCCTGTGACACCGGAAGTGCTCTACTTCCCCTCACCATGCGAACAGAAAATGCTCTACTTCTCACGTTGTGCACAGAAGGTGCACCGAGAACAGGTGCAGGTGCATTGCGAGAGGTGAATGGAGGAACTTACAATGTGCGGAGAGCCTTCAAGGAAGTAAGTCTAGAAGGTAAGCTTCCTGAAAAACGGTTGTTACTCAGATCCCTGCATTGCCAACCGTCCATGGGTATGCATGGGCATTCATCATGTGTTAGACAGCATGTCGCATGCATAGGTTGTCCTTACACAGTACGTTGCGCAGAAAGATGGTGCATCAACCACCATTCAGTGGGTGATGTGCCGCCAAATATCTCATGCGTCTGAATCTTGGCCATCTGCCACCAAATCTTCCCCCCCCCCTCCTCAAAATCAACACCCTTCACACTCAACCACATAGCTGTTATTGGGCATGCATCCACAGGACAGAACAGGTTCAATTCAAGGCGAACCAATAAAATAACAGACATGGTATTTTCAGAACCAGGCAACGGACAAGGCAACAATGCACGAACACGAAACTTATTCACTGAGCAGCAATTCACAGCACACTAGATAATCTCACACCGCAGCTGTTCCATCGTGTTCAAATGTTCAAATCCCGGGCTAATGCTGATAGATGAGCATGTTGAGACTCACATATACGTGAGTTTCTTCAGCGCCTTAAGATTGGGAAGCAACTGCCCCGTCATACGGTTGTCATTCATGTCCCTGCAAGGAAAAGCAGTGTGCAACAACAGTGCGGTGAGTGAGACCAAGGGATTTGGGTGCAGATGGGATTGTCTGCACGCGTCCTTCATGACGGACTTTAGAATGGCTCACCGCTAGGCAAATACAGGCTGGCAGAAGCTTGGACTTACAACAGTAGAAGCATGGACTGAGAATGCCAGAAACGTGGACTTACAATATACTAAGCTTCGTTAAGTTCGACAAGCAGTCAGGGATGGATCCCGCAAAGGTATTGTGCGAGATATTGCTGTCATGCAGAGGAAATGATATCAAGGAACAGGAGTTGACTTATTACATAAACATGGCATGAGGGCATGAGAATGGAAGAACAGAGAAATATGGGAACAAGGGGCAGCGATGAAGTAATAGTAAGAAGGGTTTTTTTTGGGTTGATGCAAAAACCGCACATAAAAAATTGGGTAACCCAAAAAAGCCCAAATTAGTAAGAAGTCCTCCTAGTAAGTGTCGCAAAATTGCCGAAACCTCTGGGTGTGAATGCCCCCGATTTCAGCCACTAGGTGTGAATTGGGGGGCTTTTGCGAGGCGCAAACCTCTGGAATTTGCCACTTCGCCTGAATTTCCCCTCACAAAGCCCACCAGCCAAGTCTTCCTTGCAACCCTGAAACCCCGTATCTATGTAGCACTCGGCCTTTAAGCGATTCGATTCGGCAGAGTTTGTGCAGTCCTCTTGCTGCATTGGAACCCACTAGAGCAAATGCCCTCCAACAGTTAACAGGAATAACAATCACGCCACCAATATAGAGCACTTACAGCTTGGTAAGCTTTGTCATATTACAGACTCCATCTGGAATTTGGCCTTTGAACATGTTGTCACCAAACTCCCTGCACCAGCAAGCAGGCAGGCAATCCATAGATGGTTTCCGTCTGTTGGACGTCGTACAGAGCTACAATACAAGCCAGCTATATCAACACGCAGTTGATCTTTTAGTCGACTCAAAAATCACCTAGCAGCACGCAGTTGCAAGTTGCAACAACCATCATCCATCGGGGGCTTTCACAAAATACATCTCCATCCACATTTTGCCCTCCTACTACCCCCACTTCCTCCAAAGAATAGCCAGTGCTCCTGAGTAAAAAGGCCAAAATCCTCCTCCTGTTTTGACCAGATTCACTCACAAAATCTCTAGTCGTTGCAATGCTGAGATCGACTTCGGAATTTTACCCGTGAACGAGTTGGTATGAAAATCCCTGAGAGAAACTCACACGCATGGGTACAGAATCCAAGGCATGTTCAGTTAGGCTTGAGCATGAACCCGACCCGACCCGACCCGACCCGACTTTGCCCTACCCGATGTCGGGGTCGGGTCGGGTCGGTCGGGTCAAGTCGGGTCGGAGTTCAGGAAATGCCAACCCGACCCGAGTTTAGTAGGTCGGGTACTACTTGACCCGATTTCGGGTCGGGTCGGGTCGGGTTAACATAGGGGCAGGGACGGGTAATAAGCTGACCCGACGGGTCGGGTTTTGTCGGTCGGGTCGGGTCGGGTCGGGTCGGGTACCCGAGGGTCGGGTCGACCCTCCGCAAATGTCGACCCGACCCGTCAAAAAGTCGGGTTCGGGTCGGGTTACCCGACCCGACCCGACCCGTTGCTCAAGCCTATGTTCAGTTATGCAGAGGAGGCAAAATGCTTCTATTGCATCAAAACAACGAAAGGTCACTTCACATTCTCAGATGCCTCAAAACTTGGTGCATTTGGATAGGGTTGATGGTAGTTGAAACAGGGATGGTTTTTAAGTTCAAAAAAACTGTCGAACAGGGAGCAGTTTTAAGTCTAGAGGAATAGACCATCGTTATCACACATGCCATCCGGAAGCCTAACTCCACTGAAGTGAGTGAGAAGAACAAGGCATGCAAGAAGTTGAAAGTGAGTAGACACATGGTGGGTTGGGGTCAGGCACTCGGACGTAGATGTAAGTAATCATCTCAAGAGGATGGTAAAAAGGAAGAGAGCTCATATACGGGTAAAAAACAAATCTGTCCCGATCATATAGATTTGATAGCTGTGCTGAGGGAAGGGAACCAGCTCGTCCCGTACCACTGGACTAGATTGGTAAGTCGCCCAATCGTTGTTGGAAGACTCCCACGGAATTGGCTTCCAGTAAGGTTCCTAGAGAGCAGACGATCACGGTTTGTGAAGAGGAAGACATGACAAGGTGGAAGTTGCAAATACATTGAGCACAACTGCATTCTACTAAGGATGGAAGTACAATAAAGTGGATGTCGTGTGGCGGATAAAAAATGGATATCATATGGCGAGCTTCCTATGCTAATGCCAGGAGGACGTGGTGCAAGCAAGGCATACCATGCAGGCGGATGGGTGTGCAGGCAGAGATGGGTGTGCACTTACAATGCGGTCAGATGGATGAGATTCCCAATAAGCGCTGGTATGCTTCCCACAACTTGAGAGCCATTTGATAACCTGTATCAATTGGCAGCATGTGGGCGAAGTGGCATGCAAGAATTCAGCAGAACCAGATCCATGCTCTCAGGAATAAGAGGCATCGCTTTTGCACAATTCTCAAATGTTGCAACCCTCAAGCTTTTGCCTTGCGCTTGATTGCATGCACGTAACCATGTAGCCGCACACAGTAGCCACGTGTTTCCCTGCATTAACCAACACAGACTGACAGTGTGGTTGCCAGCAATGAGAATCCGCTTACAGGCTGATGATGTGGTTGTCAGCATCACAGGTTATGTGCTTCATCTGGGCACACGCGCTAACGCTCGTCCACGTGCCATTTCCGTTAAACCCCCCCAGGCCTTCGTTAGTGCTTCCAGTGCAGCCCCTGTGTGTTGAGGGCGGAGGAAGAGTACGAAATGGAAATGGAGAGAGAACGATATGATTTTGCACCAGGTATGGGCAGCACACTCATGCAAGAAAACAAAATCTCACGTGTCATTCCATCATCAAAACAAGACTTACACTCTAAATCTGGGGGAAGGCCATCGCATGTTTCAAGAGTGCCTCCCCTATTGGAGTCTGACCCACACGCACACGTGGCATTGCCCAAGCCTTCCCCCCCTTTCCAGTAGCAATAACCGTGGCCAGGACAGGGCGGGGTGGAGGGAGGGGAAAGGTGGCAGAAGGCAGAGCATTTTTCTCTGGGGCGCTGGGTGTGGGTGAGGTTGCAGGGCATGGCGCTGGAGTTGAAGCAGTTGTTGTGCAGGGAGAGCAGCTGCGCTGATGAGTTGCACGTGGTGGCATTCAGACTGCTGGAGTAGAGGTAGTTATGGCTCACGTTCCTGTGGAATGAAAGAGAACGGAAATGTGGGAGAGAAGCACAGACAGTAAACTTAAATAAGGCTAATGAGTTGGTTGCATAACGGCCACTTCACCTGATGTCATGCCATGCAGTGCGCCTATTTGTTCACTAGAGGATTCCTTACAATGCCAGCAGCCCTTTTGGGCTAAGCCCTTGCGAGTTGTTGACCCCTAGCGAGCTGTTGAGCCCTAGCAAGCTGTTGAGCCCACTTGGTAAAGCTCCTGACAGTTGGTTGTGTGACAAGTCCCTGCCAACATAGGAAAATCAGGAAAGGAGCCATTCATGCCAAACCAATGCAAGACTCATTGGCAGCTTATTGATGGCTGTAAAGCGAATGCCAAATCAATAAGCCATCAGTTGAGTGGCAACTCATTGAGATTTTCCAGGTTTGTGTGATCCATTATGCATCATGTCAACTCCCTTTGCAAACTCCAACGCACAAGATTCTGAGCTTCGTTAGACAGCTGATGGAGTCTGGAATGGGCCCCGCTATAGCGTTGTTGGACACATTGCTGAAGACGGAGAGTTGCGATGACAAGGGGTGTGCCAAGGGAAAGGAGGTTGGGGGGTGAAGCACGGGATGTGAGGGGGGGAGGGAGGGAGGCAGAAGAAGCAAGGCCGAAGACAGCAAGTGGCAAGACGATATGCACGTGGCTCGAGGAAGCCGGCTCACACACCACACATGTGCGTCCACGTGCATGCCCACGCACATGTTTCTGCAAACACACGCTTGCACTAACCTCACAAAGTTGCATGCAATTCCTTTTGCCACATCTCCTTACGAGACAATGTTACAACTGATGCTATACGCGGATTTTAGAGGGTGGCGCTTCGGCATGGTTAGAATCAACAGCTCACTCACAGTAATGTGAGGTGCGACAGGCCTTCAATGCTGCTTGGAATAAAACCCGATATGTTTAGCCCAGAAACGTTCCTGTGAATCCAACAAAAGGAATAGGAGAAAGCATGCGTCTTTCAAAGGCGTGCAGATGTCTGCGGAGACGTGAATCCTAGCCCCCAAGTCGGACGTCCTAGTTCCATCATACCACCACATGGGGTTGTGAGGTGAACAGTAGGAAATACGCCCAAGGGGGGAAATATGATAACAGCATGGCGCATAAAGTGATTGATATCATTGTGTGCAAGGTGCAGGAGGCATTTATCAACCAGCAAGAGGAGCGTTCCTTACAGTTTCTCTATTTGGTTGTACTCGTTGCACTTGACATGCAACATCTGCACACAAGAGAAGCTTTCGTTCCATGTGCCTGAGCCGTTGAAGCCACCCCAGGCCACTCTCAGCGCGTCCAAAGCGAGCCCTGCACCCAGCAAGCAGATCACAAGGGTGCATGTGCGAACGTGGCTTCGTCATAAATGCATGGTCCTGGCTCTAAGCAACTTATGCATTTCCTTGGCTGAAAGAGCGCAAAAGGAGATCAAAAGAGATGGGAAATGATGGAAGGACAATCAGGTGTTTTACACTTACATTCCGATTTTGGCAATACGTTGACACATGTGCTTGAATTATCTCCGTGCCCGTACCCCTTCTTGCATGCACACGTAGCATTGCCGTCAACCAAGTGGCAGTAGCCGTGGCCGTCACAGGGCACGGTGGAGGGAGGGGAGAGGCCGCAGAAGGCGGAGCAATTTTGGCGCTGGGTGTGGGTGAGGTCGCAGGGCATGGCGCTGGAGTTGAAGCAGTTGCCCTGCAGGGAGATGGCTATCATGTCGAGGGCGGACGCATTGCACATTGTCTTGGGGAGAGTGTCAGCGTAGAAGTAGTTGTTGCTGACAGACCTGCAGGATGTGAGCACAAGGCATGTTCATGCATAAGGAACACAGAGATTTTCGAGAAAGAAAGCACTACCTTTCAATCAAAGGGATGCTAAACATTGACCATGAAAGTTTGAACAATCGCGTCAGGCAACTTCTGAGGCGCTTCTGAAAGCATGTTTCGTCACAACATACACAATTGTGGGCGTATCGCTACAACCATGCAATTGCGGACTGACTGAGATATACTTCCGTTAACAGATCACTGTCCTAATATATATTCCTCCTTATGGATTGGAAGTACTGCGATGCAAGGAAGCAGAATGCTTGGGTTGTTGGGTCAGGGAAAGGTTTACTCACAGAGACACGAGGCTCAATAGACTGCCTAAGGCTTTCGGCAGGGTACCAGTGAAGTAGTTGCCTGTCAGATTCCTGCACAATCCTCCCATCGACAATGTACACAGGGAACACTAGGCGAGATTAAGAGCTATGCAGTCCACATGTAGATACACAAACAGGTGGCTGACATCGCTTATCCGTGGTGCAAATTCTATGATGAAGTATGCAGCATATATTCAGCCACACCATGACGCATGCACTCACAGCAATTTGAGGAGAATTCACTCACAGCACACTCAGGCTCTCCAAGCCAGTGATGGCGTCTGGAATGTTTCCCCAGATGCCTTGCCAGGATACGTCACTGCCCATGCCAGGATGAGGAGGAACCGGTGAGAAGGGTACGCACAGGTAAAACGGGGAAACATGAAGACAAACGGAAAAAAAACATTGAAGCTAAAAAGGACAGAGCAGGCAAAAGGAGAAAGGTGGAAGAGAGGTTGATGAAAGAAAACCCAGCCAGTGGCATCCTTCAAGTTGACTCAAAGATTAAGTTTTTTGCCAGTTGTATAAAAGAGGAAAGGGGGGGGGGGAGGGAGGAAGTAGAACTCAAACAAAGAAGTGATGGGCGCAACGATGGTTCTTACAGCGCTACAATCTGGTTGGCATCGTCACATATGACGTTATTCATTTTCTCGCAGGGGATGCCACTCTTCCATGTGCCATTGCCATCAAAGCCACCCCATGCAGCCGTTAGACTCTCCAACACAGCCCCTACAAGCAGTCACCCAAGCAGAGGACAGAAACTAATTCAACAGTAGTGTAAAGCGTACACAGCCCTGAGTATCCGTGTCACAAGCTGAGCATGCAGTGATTGTCCTCGTCCGATGGTACGAGACAAAATTGACTAGCATAACATCCCAAAAAACAGCACGCACGTAGCGACTTACATTCCGTTTGTGAGAGCAGGGGAACACATGTTGTGGACTCCTTTCCAGTATTGTACCCCTCCTTGCACGCACACATGGCAGTGCTCGCGTCGTTTTCCCCCCACTCCCAGTGGCAGTGGCCGAGGCCGGCACAGGGCGTGTCGAAGGGAGGGGAAAGGCCGGAGAAGGCGGAGCAATCTTCAGGGGGGCGCTGGGGGATGCAGGAGATGTGGCCGGTGCAGTTGTTTTCCAGGGTTGAGTCCCAGGGAATGGCGATTTCACAGTTGTTTTTTTCGCAAACTGCTGAGTCAAAGGGGATGGTGATGGTGCACGTCTTTTCCGAAAAGTCTACTGAGCCATAGGGGACGGTGATGGCGCAGTTGTCGTCCACGCAGTCTACTGAGTCGGAGGGGATGGTGAAGTGGCTTCCTAAGGAGTCTACTGAGCTGTAGGGGATGGTGATCGTGAATTTGCTTTCCAGGGAGACTACTGAGGTGCAGGGGAAGGTGATGGCGCAGTCGAGTTCCCCCCATTCTACTGAGTTGGAGGAGATGGTGATGGTGCAGTCGGTTCCCATGCATTCTACCGAGTCAGAGGGGACGCTGATGCTGCAGTCGGTTTCAGCACATTCTGCAGAGTCGGAAGGGATGTTGATGTTGCAGTCAGTTGCAGCGCATTGTACCGAGCCGGAAGGGATGGTGATGGTGCAGTCGGTTTCAGCACATTCTACAGAGTCGAAGGCTATGGTGACGGTGCAGTCAATTTCCGAGGATTCTACTGAGATGCAGGGGACGGTCAAGCCGCAGTTGATTTTTCGGCAGTGTGCGTGGCTGCAGGGGACGGCGCTGGGGGGGAAACAGTTGTTTTCCAGGGAGAGGGCGGTCAGTGTTCTGGAGGTGCATGTGGCGCTGGGCAGAGTGCCAGAGTAGAGGTAGTTGTTGCTCACATTCCTGCCAATGTAATTTTGACAGAGGGAATGCAGCAAGGTGCGTACTTGAGTGGATACTCATACCAGGGGTGGTTAACCAAAAATCAGAGCAGGGTGTTGAGACATATAGGAACAAGAAAAGGTTTTGCTCAAAAGTTCTACTGTGACAGTGGTCCTGAGCCTGTCAAGGTAGCCCCGTTTGTCAGATTGTGCATCCCAGCCAGCCAGTATATGCTTTGATCAAGTGCTCATCTCACAACGTCTTAAGGTAGCGTAGGCTTCTGAAGGAGGATAGAATCGAGCCAGACAGCTCGTTGTACGACAAGTCCCTGTGAGGGGGTGTGATAGCATGGCCCTCCCAAAACCTGGATCCGGCAATGAGCAAATGAAGTGCCCGAGCTGTTGAAATTGAAAATTGGCAGTAAAACGATTTAACCTAATTCATAATATTATAAGGAGTAGATGAAAGCAAATGTGGTAAGGTTTGAAGGGCTAGCTTGTAGATGCCTACCATGGTTCATATTACACGAAAGTTGTTTTGGGCTGATATTCTGGGGACGGAATCAACAGCTCAGAGAAGCTGACAATTTCGACAATAGCGAAGACTAAACAAGTCTTGCACAATCGTGATCATACTATCAAGAAGAGCGAAAACATCACACATGTCATGAACATCAAGTCCACAATAACAAACACCACGAACATCGCAAAGATCACTTGGGAGCTAAGAGGGTATGCATAAAGCCACATGCTCTTGAGGCTTCCCCCCGATAGTGGTGGCACACTCTCTCTTGTTCAAAGCTCTGAAATCTGCTCGCTTCCCCTTGAATTCTCTGGCAAGAAGGCTAACGCACGGTGTGTCAGCTTTAAAGTACTTCAATTTGCCTACGGAGCATTTACCCATAGAGTAGTTGTCATATTCTGCATCCACACAAACCTGCAGCCAGGGGAAAGAGTGGGAGTGTGGCTGATAATGTGTGAGGCAGAGGAAATGCCACAACCAACACCACAACCCATACCCTGAGAACCTGCCAGAACCAACTTAAGAATACCATGCCAACATCCAGGCACCCATAATCTCACCTCCACTTTCATGCTTCCACTTGCATCGCCCTTCAGGCCTTTCGCAGGATCGCACACAAGCCCCGGGTTCATTCGGTACAGGTCCACCATGGTTATACCACTCCCGAGGGCATTCCCTGCGTTTGTGCAGTCATCCATCTTCGTTATTATGGCAGTCTTATGGCACTTGCGGACGGGGCCCAAAGCTGTCGAGTTACGCTCGATACAAAGGGAGCGGGATGCATCGAGGCTTAAGCATTGAATGCCTGGGTTGAGCTTCTCCAAGGAGCCGCTTAACTTGAGGAACGTCTCAATTGAAGAGCAGGTGTCCGACTGGTAGAAAGAGAGTGGGGTCAGGGGAGAAGAGAGGGTTGGGGGGTAGTGTCATGAAAATAGCTCGCTGAGAGTGTGAAGCACGCGATCATTCAATGATTCCTCAAAACGCCTCAAATCTTCTCAAAATGGCGAAGCAGCAGAGCACTCGTGGGACATGAGCAGCAGAGCACTCGTGGGACAAGAGCAGCAGAGCACTCGTGGGACAAGAGCAGCAGAGCACTCGTGGGACAAGAGCAGCAGAGCACTCGTGGGACAAGAGCAGCAGAGCACTCGTGGGACAAGAGCAGCAGAGCACTCGTGGGACAAGAGCAGCAGAGCACTCGTGGGACAAGAGCAGCAGAGCACTCGTGGGACAAGAGCAGCAGAGCACTCGTGGGACAAGAGCAGCAGAGCACTCGTGGGACAAGAGCAGCAGAGCACTCGTGGGACAAGAGCAGCAGAGCACTCGTGGGACAAGAGCAGCAGAGCACTCGTGGGACAAGAGCAGCAGAGCACCGGCAAACCAAGCGCAGCACTCACTGGTAGTGTGTAGTAGAAAGCAGAGCACGCATCCACATTTGCCTTAGCCATGTTAAGCGGTTGGTTCCATGGGAGCCGATCCGAGCAGTCAATTTTCTGCAATCGCAACAGCAGGTGAGCAAAGTCTTTCCTACATTCAAGCATTCCTGCCACGGCACCAAACTCCAAACTGTACGTATGCAACTTAGGTCGTGGCGACCACAGCAAGCAACGTTAGATAAAGAGACTTGATCACTTGTGTGTCACCAATAATGTACAGCAGATTAATCAGCTGCAGAAATGGCATCATGGTGAGAAATATGACACAGAGCCAGAAACCACTTGAGTTGACTCAGTTGAGAAAAGCAGAAACTTGACCCAGAGCCAGAAACCCACCACGTTATTATGTTTAAACTCGTCTAGTGTGAGTCCGAAGAGAGAATGCACGTCGGCACAATGCCAGTTGCTCCCAGCCACCATCAGGGTGGTAGCAGTGCCAAAACCTGGCCGCAGAAAGGCATCGTGGGAGACAGGGAGGAAAGAACAGAGCAGGAGCGTGGAGTGCAGGGGGGAAGGGGAAAAAGAGAGGGAGAGGGGAGGTAGTGAAGAAAGGAGGATGGGTTATGTTCCTGTTGCTGATGTAGACGAATAAGCTAGCAAAGAGCTACTTGTTCACATCAAATTCACGGTGGATGGAACGAAGAGCGAGTTTGGTAAAAGGTCGTGGAAGAAATTCAGCGTGAGAAACTTCCAAGTTTACAGAGTGGACGTACAGCGTTCCTTCAAGAGGAAAAAAGAAACGCAACGAAAGGAAGGCACTGCGCTATGTGAAAAGGAGATTGCCCCTTCGGGTGGGAGAGGCAGGACAGGGGTAGTGAGTGAGTACCAGAGGAGACCCCCCTATGTGCCCTTGAGCAAGTGACACATTGACCTACCTCTGGTGCAGGTCGGGAAGCCATCGATTGTGGTGTCTAGCATGTGCGTTGATGGGCAGATGCAGGTGTACCTGCCCTGTCCATCGTTGATGCATGAGCCCACCTCACAGGGGTTCTGCATGCTGGCACTGCACACATCCACTGATGGGATCGAGCAGGCAAGCAGGCAAGTGGGCAGACAGCCACATTAAACAAGAAGACAGGGGGAGCAATCTGATGTTAGGTGTGCTGTCCCTAAGCACCCACTGACAACGCACCGCGCATCGTGCACAGGATTGTGCACCCCTTTTGATGCACAACAAGAGCCGACTCACCATAGGCACAGGAGCGAGAGCCATCGTTATTCAGGGCCTCGACGAACGGGGGCTTGCATCCACAGGTGTTGGAGGCGCCATCTGCGGTTTCGATGCACTCGTAGCTGCCACAGGGGTTCATGACCGCGTCACCGTTGCCGGTTATGAATGACTCACGCATACAGGGGTCATCCGAATCTGATGGGCCGGGAGACGGACACGAGGGACTAACATTTTTATTGAGGAGACATTAGAACACAGGTGCGACTATCGGGCATCGGCAATCAGTTGCAAAACCGGGATGACTAGAAGAACTGCTGAACTGGCACAACTAGCCGGCTGCCAGGCACAATGAGCTATCATGGGCAAAAGATTGCAAACTAGGCATGACTTGGTGGATTACTGGTCGACAAGCCAGGTGGCCAAGGCGAATGATTTGACCCCAGGTAGCCGTGGTCTTGTCTGAGGTGTCTCGAGCACTCACTTCTGATGATCGGGTAGATGCCAGGCAGCACGTTGATGCCACAGATGCCCTCCCCTGGCGCTATGCCCATGTGAATGTACCCCTCCGCCCCCCACTCCGTGCCCCACGAGTTGCGGATCCTCCAGAAGGGTGAAAGAGTGCGCGGTCGGTTCTTATCCGTGCCCATGAGGAGGTAGCCTGTAACGAGTACAACGTGGTTGAGGTTGCCTGTGTAGCAATCTGGCTCGTCGTACCTGAACGACTGCAGACACCGCAGCACAATGGGCACAAGTTGAATGGCACTAGATAAATGGGGCAAATGCAATATGGGGCAACGATGACAAGGCAGGCACACACACTTGCCCTGGAAACGAACTTAGTGACTAATGAACTTAGTACTTGAAGTACTTCAGGCAGAACGTAATGAACTCGCAAAGACTAATGTATAACCATGGATCTGCCTTGTGATTCCTTAGAATGTAGAAGGAGTCTCAGGCCTCGCAGTGCACATTTTAGAAATGGCTTGCCCTTTGTGTTTGGTGCATGTATGGAGTGCATACCCCATTGTAATTGACGAAAGAGGCGGCGCTCGCCTCGATGTGAACCACGACTGGCTGCCGCCGCACCGCAAGCATGAGGCCAAAGTACCCCTTGAATGCCGTCCGCTCAAACCCAGACACGATGTAATTCCCCTGCAGGCAGAGGTACGGGTACACACAGGATAGGAAATTGGCGCTATTCGACCATGAATGATCGGCGTTTGCTTGGGTGCACTTTCTCTAGAGGACTCTCCTGGAAAAAAACAAATCGATGTGGATCGGTTCACTTTGGGAAGTTTGGAATCATTTCGCATGCTCCTTCGTCTGTCAAGGAACCATGATAGATCCATGGACCAGCAATGCGAGTCTAGAGACCGGGAATACGCATGCTAGCAAAAATGAAAGGACTGGAATACATACGGTTTCTGCTACTGCTGCTGCTGCACGATGACGACGAGGAAGAGCGGCTTTGCCAAGGGAGGGACTGTGCCACACTGCTTTGAATAACCAGGCGACGAGAGAAGAGGAGGGCGAGCGAACGGAAGCCAAGGAGGAGGGGGAGGAATCCCAAGAAGAGGTATTCCGAAGGCCCTTCTTAGAGGCAACGAGTTTCTGAAAGGCGAGGGTGGGCGAGCCGCTCTCGCAGGAAGCCATCCTGGTGACCTCGAAGAGGGAGTTGATGGAGAGCGACGGGTACATCTTGTTGTTGGTGGCGATGCCGTATGCCGCCTCTATGCTCGCCACCACTGCATACGCCCAACAGTCGCCTGCAGTCATGGGATGCGACAAAGGGGGAGATGGGGCATGGTGAAAAGGCAAGTTAGGCACGCCCAGGACAAGATTGGGAGTGGCTAGAAAGGGGGAAAGCAACAACCCTCTAAGTTATGGCAAGCAGCTGCTAGCTATGGCAAGGCTGACAGCTCGTGTTTGCTGCCCCATATGCATTAGCTGCAAATGCTCCATGCCTCCTACGCGTCCTAGGCTGGTCTACTTAGAAGTCAACACAACAGCCACGAGTCTTACTGCAATCGCCTTGGTCCGGTGCCTCCCAGGTCGAGTCCAAGGTCCACGTGGATAAGGTGGGGATGTTCCACGAGTCCTGCCCGTCCTGTGCTGGGGAGTATCCCACGCTCACGTAGCGCGTGAACGGGCTTGCGATCGTGGGGTTAAATGTATCCACATCCAAAACCAGGCCCGTGGCTGCAGGGAGCAGGGCAATGGGCCACAGGAGTGAGTGGGTGGATAGAACGCAGCAAAAAGGGTTGCCATCAGTTCAGCTAGGCTAGAAGTACTGCTGCACAGACCGCAGCTGCAGTCACTACTGCTAAACAATAGTTGTGATGGTGCTTGATATGCAACGATGACCACCCTCGGATTCGTGCACGCTTGTGATTTGCTACAGAAGTCACTCCTGCAAGTGACAGGCGAGGCTCTAGCCAGGAGAGGACAAGGGAAGCTGCTCAACGTACCCCTGCCATCTTCAGGCAGTGCTGGGGGCAGAGTAAATCCTGAAAGGAAACACAAAACGTACACAAAAGATGAAGGTTCTTGACATGTAGACTCGAAACATTGATAGCACATTCTGACTTTGCATCTCCCGTGTTTGCAATGGCAACGGCATGCTGCAAGCTTGCTTGCCTATGTCAATGGTTGTCGTTGCCACGAGATGCTCCTGCTCGTGCCGGGGTAGTGATGCCGCCACAAAGCCAAAGTAATACGAGTTCTTCTTCGGTGTGGGCTGGAGGAGGTCGCAGAGCGAGAGGTTCATGGAGAGCGAGGGGTTGTCCGGCTTGGTGTTGGAAGCATTAACGAACACCCTCAAGCTCTCAGACTCCCCGGGGCCATAGTCCACCCATGCGAAGTACATCCTCCCATTGTTCAGGTCCTTTGAGACGTTAGCAGTTTTCACAGAGAAGGGGCTTCCTTTCAGGTTTACCCCAACATGATTTGCGCTGGTGTCTTTGTCCTGTTTATCCAGCCACGTGTCAAACTCAACAGCCATGCTGCGTTTGTCCATCCCAGCATACCCCACTCCGCTGCCGTTGCCGCGCTTTTTTGTGGAAGAGACAACAAACGCGAGCCCGCCACCCCCAGTAGCGAGCTTTGGAAGCATCATGAAGGCGAAGCTGACGTTGAAGTAGAACTGGCGGCCGCAATCATTCCCGATGGTTTCATACGAGAAGAGCCTGAAGGGGACTTCATAAAAGTACTCTCCAGGGAGTGTTGATGTGCGGTTTGTGAGGGTGAACGTGGACTCGATGATAATCATGTCGGTCTGGGGGTAGCTTTGCTCTGTAAGAAGGGAGAGGATGAGAAGGAAATGCAGGAGGATGCACAGAATGTGGAGAGGAAGTGTGGAATGGAGGTCAGCAGCGGAAAGTTTGCATTACGGCATGTGAGTGCTGTCAGCTTATATGCTACTCTTGAGCCGACTAAAAATTCACAAAGTTGCAATACGGCCGTTGGAACAGAAATTGTGATAGCCCGTACAATCAAGCAGGGGATCCACTGACAAGCCATGCTGCTTTAAACTTGGTATCTTAAAATGGCAAACAGCCTCCAGATGCAGGTGTCTGGCGTCTCTCCATTGGTCTAGAGCCCACCGACAGTGTACACATGGGGTGAGACGAAGGCTACATGCGAGAATCCTAAAATCGTGCCATGCGACAACATTTACCCTCCGGGATGCAGGTGAAGGGGATCTCTCCATTGGCGTAGCCACCATCACAGACACACGTAGGCGTTTCATCCACCCCGTCCAGAACGCATGATCCGCGACCCACGCAGGGATGCATTTTGCTCGATAGCCCGCAGAACGGAGCGCACTCATTCATGGGCCGCCGAGGAAGCTTTGGGCATACGCGCTTCTTATCGAGAAAGCAGTTATTTTCAAGATAGCCCTTCTTGCAGGTCACCGAGTTTGCACGGGAGAGATAGTTGTAACGAGCGCTGAATCTGACGTTTTTTGGCAGTGGCGCAAGGGCTCCACTGAGCTTGTTGTTGTCCAATTTCCTGTGTGGTGTTGGGAGGAAAGGGTCCTGTGACACCGGAAGTGCTCTACTTCCCCTCACCATGCGAACAGAAAATGCTCTACTTCTCACGTTGTGCACAGAAGGTGCACCGAGAACAGGTGCAGGTGCATTGCGAGAGGTGAATGGAGGAACTTACAATGTGCGGAGAGCCTTCAAGGAAGTAAGTCTAGAAGGTAAGCTTCCTGAAAAACGGTTGTTACTCAGATCCCTGCATTGCCAACCGTCCATGGGTATGCATGGGCATTCATCATGTGTTAGACAGCATGTCGCATGCATAGGTTGTCCTTACACAGTACGTTGCGCAGAAAGATGGTGCATCAACCACCATTCAGTGGGTGATGTGCCGCCAAATATCTCATGCGTCTGAATCTTGGCCATCTGCCACCAAATCTTCCCCCCCCCTCCTCAAAATCAACACCCTTCACACTCAACCACATAGCTGTTATTGGGCATGCATCCACAGGACAGAACAGGTTCAATTCAAGGCGAACCAATAAAATAACAGACATGGTATTTTCAGAACCAGGCAACGGACAAGGCAACAATGCACGAACACGAAACTTATTCACTGAGCAGCAATTCACAGCACACTAGATAATCTCACACCGCAGCTGTTCCATCGTGTTCAAATGTTCAAATCCCGGGCTAATGCTGATAGATGAGCATGTTGAGACTCACATATACGTGAGTTTCTTCAGCGCCTTAAGATTGGGAAGCAACTGCCCCGTCATACGGTTGTCATTCATGTCCCTGCAAGGAAAAGCAGTGTGCAACAACAGTGCGGTGAGTGAGACCAAGGGATTTGGGTGCAGATGGGATTGTCTGCACGCGTCCTTCATGACGGACTTTAGAATGGCTCACCGCTAGGCAAATACAGGCTGGCAGAAGCTTGGACTTACAACAGTAGAAGCATGGACTGAGAATGCCAGAAACGTGGACTTACAATATACTAAGCTTCGTTAAGTTCGACAAGCAGTCAGGGATGGATCCCGCAAAGGTATTGTGCGAGATATTGCTGTCATGCAGAGGAAATGATATCAAGGAACAGGAGTTGACTTATTACATAAACATGGCATGAGGGCATGAGAATGGAAGAACAGAGAAATATGGGAACAAGGGGCAGCGATGAAGTAATAGTAAGAAGGGTTTTTTTTGGGTTGATGCAAAAACCGCACATAAAAAATTGGGTAACCCAAAAAAGCCCAAATTAGTAAGAAGTCCTCCTAGTAAGTGTCGCAAAATTGCCGAAACCTCTGGGTGTGAATGCCCCCGATTTCAGCCACTAGGTGTGAATTGGGGGGCTTTTGCGAGGCGCAAACCTCTGGAATTTGCCACTTCGCCTGAATTTCCCCTCACAAAGCCCACCAGCCAAGTCTTCCTTGCAACCCTGAAACCCCGTATCTATGTAGCACTCGGCCTTTAAGCGATTCGATTCGGCAGAGTTTGTGCAGTCCTCTTGCTGCATTGGAACCCACTAGAGCAAATGCCCTCCAACAGTTAACAGGAATAACAATCACGCCACCAATATAGAGCACTTACAGCTTGGTAAGCTTTGTCATATTACAGACTCCATCTGGAATTTGGCCTTTGAACATGTTGTCACCAAACTCCCTGCACCAGCAAGCAGGCAGGCAATCCATAGATGGTTTCCGTCTGTTGGACGTCGTACAGAGCTACAATACAAGCCAGCTATATCAACACGCAGTTGATCTTTTAGTCGACTCAAAAATCACCTAGCAGCACGCAGTTGCAAGTTGCAACAACCATCATCCATCGGGGGCTTTCACAAAATACATCTCCATCCACATTTTGCCCTCCTACTACCCCCACTTCCTCCAAAGAATAGCCAGTGCTCCTGAGTAAAAAGGCCAAAATCCTCCTCCTGTTTTGACCAGATTCACTCACAAAATCTCTAGTCGTTGCAATGCTGAGATCGACTTCGGAATTTTACCCGTGAACGAGTTGGTATGAAAATCCCTGAGAGAAACTCACACGCATGGGTACAGAATCCAAGGCATGTTCAGTTAGGCTTGAGCATGAACCCGACCCGACCCGACCCGACCCGACTTTGCCCTACCCGATGTCGGGGTCGGGTCGGGTCTGGTCGGGTCAAGTCGGGTCGGAGTTCAGGAAATGCCAACCCGACCCGAGTTTAGTAGGTCGGGTACTACTTGACCCGATTTCGGGTCGGGTCGGGTCGGGTTAACATAGGGGCAGGGACGGGTAATAAGCTGACCCGACGGGTCGGGTTTTGTCGGTCGGGTCGGGTCGGGTCGGGTCGGGTACCCGAGGGTCGGGTCGACCCTCCGCAAATGTCGACCCGACCCGTCAAAAAGTCGGGTTCGGGTCGGGTTACCCGACCCGACCCGACCCGTTGCTCAAGCCTATGTTCAGTTATGCAGAGGAGGCAAAATGCTTCTATTGCATCAAAACAACGAAAGGTCACTTCACATTCTCAGATGCCTCAAAACTTGGTGCATTTGGATAGGGTTGATGGTAGTTGAAACAGGGATGGTTTTTAAGTTCAAAAAAACTGTCGAACAGGGAGCAGTTTTAAGTCTAGAGGAATAGACCATCGTTATCACACATGCCATCCGGAAGCCTAACTCCACTGAAGTGAGTGAGAAGAACAAGGCATGCAAGAAGTTGAAAGTGAGTAGACACATGGTGGGTTGGGGTCAGGCACTCGGACGTAGATGTAAGTAATCATCTCAAGAGGATGGTAAAAAGGAAGAGAGCTCATATACGGGTAAAAAACAAATCTGTCCCGATCATATAGATTTGATAGCTGTGCTGAGGGAAGGGAACCAGCTCGTCCCGTACCACTGGACTAGATTGGTAAGTCGCCCAATCGTTGTTGGAAGACTCCCACGGAATTGGCTTCCAGTAAGGTTCCTAGAGAGCAGACGATCACGGTTTGTGAAGAGGAAGACATGACAAGGTGGAAGTTGCAAATACATTGAGCACAACTGCATTCTACTAAGGATGGAAGTACAATAAAGTGGATGTCGTGTGGCGGATAAAAAATGGATATCATATGGCGAGCTTCCTATGCTAATGCCAGGAGGACGTGGTGCAAGCAAGGCATACCATGCAGGCGGATGGGTGTGCAGGCAGAGATGGGTGTGCACTTACAATGCGGTCAGATGGATGAGATTCCCAATAAGCGCTGGTATGCTTCCCACAACTTGAGAGCCATTTGATAACCTGTATCAATTGGCAGCATGTGGGCGAAGTGGCATGCAAGAATTCAGCAGAACCAGATCCATGCTCTCAGGAATAAGAGGCATCGCTTTTGCACAATTCTCAAATGTTGCAACCCTCAAGCTTTTGCCTTGCGCTTGATTGCATGCACGTAACCATGTAGCCGCACACAGTAGCCACGTGTTTCCCTGCATTAACCAACACAGACTGACAGTGTGGTTGCCAGCAATGAGAATCCGCTTACAGGCTGATGATGTGGTTGTCAGCATCACAGGTTATGTGCTTCATCTGGGCACACGCGCTAACGCTCGTCCACGTGCCATTTCCGTTAAACCCCCCCCAGGCCTTCGTTAGTGCTTCCAGTGCAGCCCCTGTGTGTTGAGGGCGGAGGAAGAGTACGAAATGGAAATGGAGAGAGAACGATATGATTTTGCACCAGGTATGGGCAGCACACTCATGCAAGAAAACAAAATCTCACGTGTCATTCCATCATCAAAACAAGACTTACACTCTAAATCTGGGGGAAGGCCATCGCATGTTTCAAGAGTGCCTCCCCTATTGGAGTCTGACCCACACGCACACGTGGCATTGCCCAAGCCTTCCCCCCCTTTCCAGTAGCAATAACCGTGGCCAGGACAGGGCGGGGTGGAGGGAGGGGAAAGGTGGCAGAAGGCAGAGCATTTTTCTCTGGGGCGCTGGGTGTGGGTGAGGTTGCAGGGCATGGCGCTGGAGTTGAAGCAGTTGTTGTGCAGGGAGAGCAGCTGCGCTGATGAGTTGCACGTGGTGGCATTCAGACTGCTGGAGTAGAGGTAGTTATGGCTCACGTTCCTGTGGAATGAAAGAGAACGGAAATGTGGGAGAGAAGCACAGACAGTAAACTTAAATAAGGCTAATGAGTTGGTTGCATAACGGCCACTTCACCTGATGTCATGCCATGCAGTGCGCCTATTTGTTCACTAGAGGATTCCTTACAATGCCAGCAGCCCTTTTGGGCTAAGCCCTTGCGAGTTGTTGACCCCTAGCGAGCTGTTGAGCCCTAGCAAGCTGTTGAGCCCACTTGGTAAAGCTCCTGACAGTTGGTTGTGTGACAAGTCCCTGCCAACATAGGAAAATCAGGAAAGGAGCCATTCATGCCAAACCAATGCAAGACTCATTGGCAGCTTATTGATGGCTGTAAAGCGAATGCCAAATCAATAAGCCATCAGTTGAGTGGCAACTCATTGAGATTTTCCAGGTTTGTGTGATCCATTATGCATCATGTCAACTCCCTTTGCAAACTCCAACGCACAAGATTCTGAGCTTCGTTAGACAGCTGATGGAGTCTGGAATGGGCCCCGCTATAGCGTTGTTGGACACATTGCTGAAGACGGAGAGTTGCGATGACAAGGGGTGTGCCAAGGGAAAGGAGGTTGGGGGGTGAAGCACGGGATGTGAGGGGGGGAGGGAGGGAGGCAGAAGAAGCAAGGCCGAAGACAGCAAGTGGCAAGACGATATGCACGTGGCTCGAGGAAGCCGGCTCACACACCACACATGTGCGTCCACGTGCATGCCCACGCACATGTTTCTGCAAACACACGCTTGCACTAACCTCACAAAGTTGCATGCAATTCCTTTTGCCACATCTCCTTACGAGACAATGTTACAACTGATGCTATACGCGGATTTTAGAGGGTGGCGCTTCGGCATGGTTAGAATCAACAGCTCACTCACAGTAATGTGAGGTGCGACAGGCCTTCAATGCTGCTTGGAATAAAACCCGATATGTTTAGCCCAGAAACGTTCCTGTGAATCCAACAAAAGGAATAGGAGAAAGCATGCGTCTTTCAAAGGCGTGCAGATGTCTGCGGAGACGTGAATCCTAGCCCCCAAGTCGGACGTCCTAGTTCCATCATACCACCACATGGGGTTGTGAGGTGAACAGTAGGAAATACGCCCAAGGGGGGAAATATGATAACAGCATGGCGCATAAAGTGATTGATATCATTGTGTGCAAGGTGCAGGAGGCATTTATCAACCAGCAAGAGGAGCGTTCCTTACAGTTTCTCTATTTGGTTGTACTCGTTGCACTTGACATGCAACATCTGCACACAAGAGAAGCTTTCGTTCCATGTGCCTGAGCCGTTGAAGCCACCCCAGGCCACTCTCAGCGCGTCCAAAGCGAGCCCTGCACCCAGCAAGCAGATCACAAGGGTGCATGTGCGAACGTGGCTTCGTCATAAATGCATGGTCCTGGCTCTAAGCAACTTATGCATTTCCTTGGCTGAAAGAGCGCAAAAGGAGATCAAAAGAGATGGGAAATGATGGAAGGACAATCAGGTGTTTTACACTTACATTCCGATTTTGGCAATACGTTGACACATGTGCTTGAATTATCTCCGTGCCCGTACCCCTTCTTGCATGCACACGTAGCATTGCCGTCAACCAAGTGGCAGTAGCCGTGGCCGTCACAGGGCACGGTGGAGGGAGGGGAGAGGCCGCAGAAGGCGGAGCAATTTTGGCGCTGGGTGTGGGTGAGGTCGCAGGGCATGGCGCTGGAGTTGAAGCAGTTGCCCTGCAGGGAGATGGCTATCATGTCGAGGGCGGACGCATTGCACATTGTCTTGGGGAGAGTGTCAGCGTAGAAGTAGTTGTTGCTGACAGACCTGCAGGATGTGAGCACAAGGCATGTTCATGCATAAGGAACACAGAGATTTTCGAGAAAGAAAGCACTACCTTTCAATCAAAGGGATGCTAAACATTGACCATGAAAGTTTGAACAATCGCGTCAGGCAACTTCTGAGGCGCTTCTGAAAGCATGTTTCGTCACAACATACACAATTGTGGGCGTATCGCTACAACCATGCAATTGCGGACTGACTGAGATATACTTCCGTTAACAGATCACTGTCCTAATATATATTCCTCCTTATGGATTGGAAGTACTGCGATGCAAGGAAGCAGAATGCTTGGGTTGTTGGGTCAGGGAAAGGTTTACTCACAGAGACACGAGGCTCAATAGACTGCCTAAGGCTTTCGGCAGGGTACCAGTGAAGTAGTTGCCTGTCAGATTCCTGCACAATCCTCCCATCGACAATGTACACAGGGAACACTAGGCGAGATTAAGAGCTATGCAGTCCACATGTAGATACACAAACAGGTGGCTGACATCGCTTATCCGTGGTGCAAATTCTATGATGAAGTATGCAGCATATATTCAGCCACACCATGACGCATGCACTCACAGCAATTTGAGGAGAATTCACTCACAGCACACTCAGGCTCTCCAAGCCAGTGATGGCGTCTGGAATGTTTCCCCAGATGCCTTGCCAGGATACGTCACTGCCCATGCCAGGATGAGGAGGAACCGGTGAGAAGGGTACGCACAGGTAAAACGGGGAAACATGAAGACAAACGGAAAAAAAACATTGAAGCTAAAAAGGACAGAGCAGGCAAAAGGAGAAAGGTGGAAGAGAGGTTGATGAAAGAAAACCCAGCCAGTGGCATCCTTCAAGTTGACTCAAAGATTAAGTTTTTTGCCAGTTGTATAAAAGAGGAAAGGGGGGGGGGAGGGAGGAAGTAGAACTCAAACAAAGAAGTGATGGGCGCAACGATGGTTCTTACAGCGCTACAATCTGGTTGGCATCGTCACATATGACGTTATTCATTAGCTCGCAGGGGATGCCACTCTTCCATGTGCCATTGCCATCAAAGCCACCCCATGCAGCCGTTAGACTCTCCAACACAGCCCCTACAAGCAGTCACCCAAGCAGAGGACAGAAACTAATTCAACAGTAGTGTAAAGCGTACACAGCCGAGTATCCGTGTCACAAGCTGAGCATGCAGTGATTGTCCTCGTCCAATGGTACGAGACAAAATTGACTAGCATAACATCCCAAAAAACAGCACGCACGTAGCGACTTACATTCCGTTTGTGAGAGCAGGGGAACACATGTTGTGGACTCCTTTCCAGTATTGTACCCCTCCTTGCACGCACACATGGCAGTGCTCGCGTCGTTTTCCCCCCACTCCCAGTGGCAGTGGCCGAGGCCGGCACAGGGCGTGTCGAAGGGAGGGGAAAGGCCGCAGAAGGCGGAGCAATCTTCAGGGGGGCGCTGGGTGATGCAGGAGATGTGGCCGGTGCAGTTGTTTTCCAGGGTTGAGTCCCAGGGGATGGCGATTTCACAGTTGTTATTTTCGCAAACTGCTGAGTCAAAGGGGATGGTGATGGTGCACGTCTTTTCCGGAAAGTCTACTGAGCCATAGGGGACGGTGATGGCGCAGTTGTCGTCCACGCAGTCTACTGAGTCGGAGGGGATGGTGAAGTGGCTTCCTAAGGAGTCTACTGAGCTGTAGGGGATGGTGATGGCGAATTTGCTTTTCAGGGAGACTACTGAGGTGCAGGGGAAGGTGATGGCGCAGTCGAGTTCCCCCCATTCTACTGAGTTGGAGGAGATGGTGATGGTGCAGTCGGTTCCCATGCATTCTACCGAGTCAGAGGGGACGCTGATGCTGCAGTCGGTTTCAGCACATTCTGCAGAGTCGGAAGGGATGTTAATGTAGCAGTCAGTTGCAGCGCATTGTACCGAGCCGGAAGGGATGGTGATGGTGCAGTCGGTTTCAGCGCATTCTACAGAGTCGAAGGCTATGGTGACGGTGCAGTCAATTTCCAAGGATTCTACTGAGATGCAGGGGACGGTCAAGCCGCAGTTGATTTCTCGGCAGTCTGCGTGGCTGCAGGGGACGGCGCTGGGGGGGTAACAGTTGTTTTCCAGGGAGAGGGCGGTCAGTGTTGTGGAGGTGCATGTGGCGCTGGGCAGAGTGCCAGAATAGAGGTAGTTGTTGCTCACATTCCTGCCAATGAAATTTTGACAGAGGGAATGCAGCAAGGTGCGTGCTTGAGTGGATACTCATACCAGGGGTGGTTAACCAAAAATCAGAGCAGGGTGTTGAGACATATAGGAACAAGAAAAGGTTTTGCTCAAAAGTTCTACTGTGACAGTGGTCCTGAGCCTGTCAAGGTAGCCCCATTTGTCAGATTGTGCATCCCAGCCAGCCAGTATATGCTTTGATCAAGTGCTCTTCTCACAACGTCTTAAGGTAGCGTAGGCTTCTGAAGGAGGATGGAATCGAGCCAGACAGCTCGTTGTATGACAAGTCCCTGTGAGGGGGTGTGATAGCATGGATTAAGAGGGGGTGTAGCGACGCATCTACACATGTGGACGAGGAAGGTACACGTGGACGAGGAGGGTACACGTGGACGAGGAGGGTACACGTGGAAGAGGAGGGTACACGTGGACGAGGAAGGTACACGACAGCAGCGGCAAGAGGTACACCTAAAGGAAAGCAAGAGGAGAAGGAAGAAAGCTGCCAAGTCAAAGAAAACACGTGGAGGAATGAAAGCTGCTTTTAGCAAAGAAGTAACCAGGCTGGCTATAAGCAGCATCGATGATTGTGCCTCACAGTTCTTGCATTCGGACCAGGCTGCTAAGACATTCGGGGACATTTCCTGAAAACGCATTCATAGACAGATTTCTGCACATGCACAAAAAAGTGGTGGGGTGACGAATGAAGGACAAAGTTGGGATAAGGAAAGGGTTTAAAGAGGTACTAGCATTAGATTTCATGCTGAGAACAAGCATAGTGGTAGTGCAATACAGAGAGGCGCAATACAGAATGATGCCTTGTGTACAATACAAACCAAGAACAAGAAAATACTTCCGAGAGTCCTGCAACAAAGGTTGGCGTAGTGCAGCATTTGAGAAGCAAATACTGTAAATTGGATGGGGCATAGTGCAATGTACGCACAGATGTGTGAGGCGAGCGAGTTTTGTCAAAATCGATGGGATAGTTTCAGACAGGCCCATGTATGAGAAGTCACTGCAGAATCGAAGAGAAGGGGCACGATGGGGTTTGAGTGACAAAAAGAGAAAAAAAGAAAGATGAAATGAGGAGGAAAGGTAAGGGAGGAAGTGGTGGGAGAAAGGATACATAAGTTTCCACCCCGACCACTATGCCGTGTATGCTGTGCCATTCTTTTTATAGATTCACTCGTAGAGAAATGATCTCCTTCCCTAAGGATTCCTCTCCTACAACTTTGAAAAGCGGGCAGAGGGCAAGCAATGCGCATGGAGGGAACAGGTTGAATGTAGGCATGAGCATAGGTCCAGCCCAGCCCGGCCAGTTTCTGGTCAGCCCAGCTTATGGCCGGGCCGGGCCAGGCGGGGCCGGGCCAAAGTCGGGCCGACCTTGGAAGCTCCCTGGGCCGTGCCCGCGTTTAGGGTCGGGCCGATCTTGGAAGCTCCCTGGGCCGTGCCCGTGTTTAGGGTCGGGCCGACCTTGGAAGCTCCCTGGGCCGTGCCCGCGTTTAGGGTCGGGCCGACCTTGGAAGCTCCCTGGGCCGTGCCTGCGTTTAGGGTCGGGCCGACCTTGGAAGCTCCCTGGGCCGTGCCCGCGTTTAGGGTCGGGCCGACCTTGGAAGCTCCCTGGGCCGTGCCCGCGTTTAGGGTCTGGCCGACCTTGGAAGCTCCCTGGGCCGTGCCCGCGTTTAGGGTCGGGCCGACCTTGGAAGCTCCCTGGGCCGTGCCTGCGTTTAGGGTCTGGCCGACCTTGGAAACTCCCTGGGCCGTGCCCGCGTTTAGGGTCGGGTCGGCCTTGGCCTTGGGGCGGACAGGGCCCGGGCCAGGCCAGGGTCGGGTCGGGCTGCCTAAGGTCGGGCCAAGTTTCGGGGATGGGCGGCCCCGCCCATCCGGGTCTTTTGCCCACGCCTTATTGGATGAGGCAAGTGTTGGCTCATGCTTGCACACGTGGATATGAGTAGCTTAACGTTCATAAAGGAAACATTCACGACCATCATACACATCCCAACCTCGTGCATAACATAACACGTGTGCAGAGTTCACACAGGTAAGCGAGACACATGCACCCATCACAGATCACTCACAGTCTAACAATGAAATTGTCTTCAGTTTCGGCAAATTGCAGAAGGGTCTGCCACGTGATGTTAGGGGACGCGCCCCACAGCTTCAGCAAGCCATCCAGCACGTTAGCTGGTAGTACAGGACGTTATGACGGGAAAATGTTGTCTTGTGAGGAGGATGACGTGCTTTGGGGTAGATTGATCCTTTGTTACAGGACACACAGATACATAGGACCATTTAGTTGATTGAAGGCTTCATGGTGGGAAGACGCACGTGGTAAAACAGCATCTCCACGATAAGAAAAGCGTATAGATTGGATGACAAATCCCGCAATAAAACAGCATTCTCCACTCTACAGATTACAACTAACCACCACAAGTACGTACTCTGAGAACTCTCCAGCGGAGAAATACAGGACGCGTTAGTCGACCCGTACGTGTAATTATTTGCGCACTGGCACTGCATCACGCTCTGCTGCACCCACGGTGCGTTCAAGTTCTCCCCGTAGCAGTAACCATGGCCGGTACAGGGGGAAAGGCCGTTGTACGCATTCATTCCACAGAAATCAGAGCAATCTCCCATCTGCCAGTCATTCAGCTGGCACGGCACATCCAAGACGAAGCAGTTGCTGGTGACCATCACATCAGCCTGATAACAGATGTAATCCTCAATGAACCCAGACTTAAAGTAGTTGAACTCTAGATTGCTGCGTGGTGGGGGCGAGGACAAGTGGGGTGAGATGGACGATAGTGAGAGAGATGAACAAGTAGGGTGGGATGGACGATACTTCAGATAGAGGATCATGAGATGGACGATAGTGGGAGTGTGTGCACTCACAGGCATTACATTACGTGGGTGTGTGTGTGCACTCACAGGCATTACATTACATGGGTGTGTGTGTGCACTCACAGGCATTACATTACATGGGTGTGTGTGTGCACTCACAGGCATTACATTACATGGGTGTGTGTGTGCACTCACAGGCATTACATTACATGGGTGTGTGTGTGCACTCACAGGCATTACATTACATGGGTGTGTGTGTGCACTCACAGGCATTACATTACATGGGTGTGTGTGTGCACTCACAGGCATTACATTACATGGGTGTGTGTGTGCACTCACAGGCATTACATTACATGGGTGTGTGTGTGCACTCACAGGCATTACATTACATGGGTGTGTGTGTGCACTCACAGGCATTACATGGTGTGCACACTCACAAGCATTACAAAGCACTCACAGGAAACGCAAGTCGGTCATATCATCCGTTATTGGAATGTCTCCCGCAAAGAAGTTGTGACCGATGTCTCTGAAAAGCACGAACAGAAGATCACACGGTAACAGCACGCTCACATGGTAACAGCAGGTTCACATGGTAACAGCACGCTCACATGGTAACAGCACGCTCACGTGGTAACAGCACGCTCACATGGTAACAGCAAGCTCATATGGTAACAGCAAGCTTACATGCTAACAGCATGCTCACATAGTAACAGCAAGCTTACATGCTAACCGCAAGCTCACAGGTAAGTCAGCTGGCTCAAGCCTTTGATGTCAGGGAAAGGGCCGAAGAAGTGATTGTACCTGAGATCCCTGTAAGGGTGAGGATGCAGAGAAAGGCTATTTTTGTAACACAGTGGGAGGAATGATATAGATGAGTGAACGAGGTGACGAGGTTGAGAGCGAAAGGAGGGGCTCCGGCACTGCCACCCGACCACCTGTTCTGCTGCGGCACTGCCATCCGGAAGGACCCACTCGCACCACACCCGCTGCACTAGGAGTGTGTGGCGGACGGCCAAGAGAACCGGGGTTGTTGTGCACATGAAGGCGGCAATCTTCAAATTAGTTGATGGGTACGCTACCGACCTCGTTACGCGCGCGCACAATCAGGGATCCAGGGGCGTTTGGATGTGTGACGTCGCCATCACCGACCCAAGAAGCTCGCAGGAGTTTTTAGCCACCAAAGCGCGGGGCTGGGCTGCATGGACAGTGGCATACAATAGAATCGGCCACTTACCTTGTCGAGTCCGCACTCAGGTTACATCAGTGGAAAGACCGCTTGGGAGGGGAGTTTGGGTTGGTGGTTGGTTGGGAACGGTTTGAAACACGATAGATATGTAAACTGAGTCCGTAGGCTGATCAAGGCTGCTCGAGATGTATCCTTATCAGCAGTTATGCGGAAGTGCAATAGGTGAAACTGATTGTGTCACGTATGGTATTGCATGTGTGACATGCCACAGCCACACGCTCATGGATTGTTTACAGCAATAGAATGGCAAGAAAAAGGGCACTCTCAACCAACCCGTTATTGTGAAAGAGAACAGTGCAGGGGACGGTGGGCAGCACACTGGAAGGAGGGCAGCACACTGCAAGGAGGGCTGCACACTGGAAGGAGGGCTGCGCTACACCTGGGAGGAGGGCGGCACATCATAGAGGAAGGCCTTACAGATGCTTGAGCTGTGCCATCTTGGATAAGTTTGCAGGGAGTGACTCCGAAAGGTGTGCGTCGTTAAACACACTGCAGGGTAAAACCATGCTTGGATGGCATGAGAGCATTGCCTAAGTTTAGACAAACGAACGATTCTTGAGAACGAACAAAGGATAGCAATAGACACTGGAGTTGTGGCTGAACAGAGTGAAAGAAGCCATATGTTCAGTTCAGCAACCAGAGAAAAAAAAATCATGAGTAACACCCTTGAAAAACATAGAGAAACGCTGGAGCAAGAGAGGTGAGCGATGTGGGTAAGGAGACGCACATGCTGGTGAGTTGTGATAGATTGAAGAGGCCTGCGGGTATGCCGCCAGTGAAAGTAGCGTGAGACAAGTCTCTGCAGCGCCGGGGGTTTAGGATGTGCAGGAAGAAAGAGGCATGCGTGCAATCAAGTCATGTGATTGAGGGTCGGGCGCCTCCAATGCAGAGGGGATGGATGCAGCTCCGTGGTACAGGCATGGAAACGGTCGACCCCAAACCAGTCCTATGCAAGTACTTGACTAAAGCAAGCAATCACGAAAACGGAAGGAGACGAAGGGGGAAGGAGGTGAAGGAAGAATGGGGCGGAGGGGTGAAGGGGGTTCGGGAAGGGCGAGAGGTGTGAAGGTTCACTTACATCTCGACAAGGTTGGTGAGGTGACTGATGGACTCTGGAATGGAACCAAACTGCTCAAAACGGCCTCCTATCTTTCTGGTGGAGGGAGGTGGGCCAAGACATGGTTTTGCAACCAGGGAAGGGAGAGGGCGGGAGTGAGAGGGGGCGGGTATCTGGCGTGGAAAACGTGAAGGGGGGGAGGCGGGGGGGGGGCACACATGGTATGCTTTCAACAAGTGGCATGCGTTCGGCATGGAATGGGGGACACACAACACATGCAAGAAGCGTGGGAGGAGATACATACACGATTGACAACTTCACTTGCCTGGCCCCTAACGACTGAAAGCATATGTTTTTTAAGCAGAGCTCAAGCCAAAGACCTGGCAAGCGACTGATCAGTGCTTTCATGGATACGAACACACCCTCGAGAAAAGCTGAGAAACGCCGGAGCAAGAGATAAGAGCGATGTGGGGTGAGGGAACGCACAGGCGGGTGAGGCTTGCAAGAGTGAAGAGCTCTGAAGGGATCACAGCAGTCAGACTAATGTATGGCAAGTTTCTGCATTTTGGGGTGGAGATACGACAAGGCATGAGTGCAAGGGATGCGGTTGAGGCACATGAAAAGCAAATTGGAAGGAGGAAATTCTTAAAGCAGGCAAGAAATAGGTCTAAGCCAGAAAATTTACTTGACCGAAGCAATTAACAGGAGTGGAAGGGTGGAGGGCGGCCGGGAAGGGCGAGAGACGTAAACGTTTACTTACAGCTCAACAAGGTTGGTTAGCGAACTGATAGACTGTGGAATAGTGCAGGACAGCTGATAGATGCTCGCGATGACTCTGGTGGGCCAAGACCAAGGGGAGGGAGTGGGAGGCGGGAGGAAAAAAGGGCGGATGCTTGGCACGGTAGGCATGGGAAGAGGGGCCCACAAGGCATGCCAAAGGCATGGGGGGAGAGACACACACGATCAAGAGACAGCTTTGCTTGCCAGGCCCCCAATCAGCTGAGAGCCAACTGGTGTTTGAACAGAGGGAGTCCATATGCTTGGCAAGCAACTGATACGTAGTTTGATGTTTATGAACACACTCTCGAGACGATGTGGGTTAGGAGGAGTGAAGTTTCCCGAAGAACGCACATGCGGGTGATGCGCGGAAGAGCGAAGAGCCCTGAAGGAACGGAGCCATCGAGCTTAACATATAGCAACTCTCTGCAAAGCCGGTGTGGGGGGAGGATGAGGCATGCGTGCAAACCAAGCGATTGAGACGCATGAAAAACAGAGTGGAAGGAGGGAGCCTCATAGCACAGGCACGGGAAAAGAAAGAAAGAAAGAAAGAAACACACACACACACACACACACACACACACACACACACACACACACACACACACACACACACACACACACACACACCAGTCTATTACTCTCACCTGCACTCAACAAAAACAATCTTGAAATCGAAAGTGGAGGGTTTGAGGAGGGGTGAGAGTGTAGGTTGACTTACAGCTCGACAAGCTGCTTTAGCAGACTGACGGACTCTGGAATAGAACCAGACAGGCCATAGTTGCCTCCCATACCTCTGATGGGCCAAGACATGGTTATGGAACCAGGGGGAAGGGAGTGGGGGGCGGGAGGGAGAAGGGGCAGGTGCTTGGCACAAAGTGTGAGGGGGGAGGGACACACATGACATGCATTTGGCATGATATCGCAGACATACATGGATGGATGGCATGCGTTTGGCATGTTATCGCACACATACATGGATGGATGGCATGCGTTTGGCATGATATCGCACACATACATGGATGGATGGCATGCGTTTGGCATGATATCGCACACATACATGGATGGATGGCATGCGTTTGGCATGATATCGCACACATACATACATGGATGGGTGGCATGCGTTTGCTAAGCTTCTCTATTCACAGGAGCATGGCTTACAGGTATGTGAGCGCAGTCAAGCTGGAAAAAGGGGGAACGGTCCCGGTGAAGGAGTTGGCGGACAGGTCACTATCGACGGGTGAGAGGGCGGGCAGGCAGGGGGTGGTGGTGTTGTGAGGTGGAGCAGGGGGTGGTGGTGTTGTGAGGTGGAGCAGGGGGTGGTGGTGTTGTGAGGTGGAGCAGGGGGTGGTGGTGTTGTGAGGTGGAGCAGGGGGTGGTGGTGTTGTGAGGTGGAGCAGGGGGTGGTGGTGTTGTGAGGTGGAGCAGGGGGTGGTGGTGTTGTGAGGTGGAGCAGGGGGTGGTGGTGTTGTGAGGTGGAGCAGGGGGTGGTGGTGTTGTGAGGTGGAGCAGGGGGTGGTGGTGTTGTGACGTGGAGCAGGGGGTGGGGTGAAACGGCAAGGGCGAAACGGCAAGGGCATGCCCATGGGTGCCAAATCAATGCTCACACGAATGGTCACATGAGTAGAAAAGCCCCTTCATGCCGAATCTTGCCTCGCACGCGCAATGCTGACGTGAATGCCTCAACTCAATAGCACGTGTGTGCGGTGCTAGAGATTTATGTGCATGTGCGTCAGCCATGCTATGCTGCGTAATAAGCGCCGACAGCAGCAGTTACTACGCTCACAAACGCGAATGGGTGAGACAAGGCCCCTAGCAGCAGGCTTGCTTGCAGGTGCCCTCATGGTTTCTCAACTCACTCACTCACAGCCGCATGGCTTCTCCACTCACTCACTCACTCACAGCCGCATAGCTTCTCCACTCACTCACTCACTCACTCACTCACAGCCGCATGGCTTCTTCACTCAATCCCTCACAGCCGCGCGGTTGCTTCACCCATTGCTGCACTCGCGGCAGCCCAGCGTGGTTGCTACTGCCAGACTCACAGAGCTGAGAGCTTGACCAGGCTGCTGATAGACGCTGGGATCTCCTTGGTGAACTTGTTACGCCGGAGCTGACTGCCACATTGCGGGTCCAATGTTCCAACACAGCTTCATTGGCAGGCGAATGCTTGAAAGAAAGAGAAAAAAGAAGAAGAAAAAAAGAAAGAAAAAAAGGGAAAACGAAGAAGAAGAAGAAAAAGACCGCACCCCTCTAGAAGCGCAGGGGAGCAACGCGAGCGGCTCACAGGCTTGCAAGGTTGGAAAGGCTCTCGAAGCAGTCGGGGAGGGACCCGGAAAGGCCGTTGTATGACATGTTGCTGCACGCACGGCGAGGAGAGGAGCCAAGTGAGCAGTGAGGTGTGGAGTGGAGTGCATGCAGAGGCTCAAGGTACGAACGAAGCTCTGTGGTCGTTGTTGCCATGATTGGGGCTCGCCAATGACCACAGAGATCATACCTAGATAAAGGAGCCCAGTGACTTTTCTAGGGATATGTAAGTTACACATAAATAACACAGGTCGGCAGCAGCTGCAGCTGATCAAATTTGACTTACACTCATTTTTTTTCCTGCTACCGGGAAGGTAAGGTACTCCATTCAAGGGACTCTGGCTTACAGGTACGTGAGCGCAGTCAAGCTGCCAAAAGAGGGAACGGTCCCGTTGAACATGTTGTCGGAAAGGTCACTACGGCGGGGTGTGAGGGATTGCAGGAGGCGGAGTTTGGTGTTGTGAGGTGGAGCAGGGGGTGGGGCTGTCGAAGAGAGAAACGGCGAGGGCATGCCCATGAAGGACGAAGCCTTTCCATGCCAGAGCTGATGATACACCCTGACGGACGCACAACCCTTAACCTGCTACTAGGAAGCCAAGCACTCTAGTCCAGGGTGGCTGGCTTACAGGTACGTCAGTGCAGTCAAGCTGTTGAAGGACGGAATGGTTCCCACAAAGAAGTTGTCGAGCAGGTCACTATCGTGGGGTGTGGGGGGAGGCAGGAGGGGTGGTGGGCTTGCGAGGTAGAACAGGACGTGGGGTAGTTGAAGGGAGAAACCGCGAGGGCATGCCCTTTGGGTGCCGAATCAATGCTCGACAACTCAACACACGTGCAACGCTAGAAAAAACGCACACAAGCATCAGCCAAGCTATGCTGCCTAAAAAGCGCCAGCAGCCTTTACCACACTCACGAACGCGAATGCCCCTGGCAGCAGGCTTGCAGGGGCAATCATGGCTGCTGGACCCACTCACCGCCGCATGGCTGCTCCACTCACACAGCGTATAACGCCTCGCTGCACTGGACCACCAGGCAAAACGAGGTTACCCAGAAGTCGCAGCGGAGCGTGTTGACAGTCCAGGTACGTTTCTACACAGCCCCACTCGTGGCAGCCCAGCTGGGTTCCCACTGCCCGACTCACAGGCGCACGAGCTTCACAAGGCTGCTGAGCGACCCAGGGAGCGACTTGTCGAACCTGGTATGTTGGAGCACGCTGCGCATTGAGGGGGGGGGGGAAGGGGGGGGGGGGTTGGGGGGTGGGGGAGGGTAGGAGGAGGAGGGGAGGGAGTAAGGAAAATGAATAACGGGGGGGAGAGAAAATGAAGAAGCGTTAATTAATCCGAAGGGGTGATTTAGCGGTACGGTGAGACTCTTACGAAGGTGTCCCATCCCATGTATGGAAAAAAAAGGCCCACATATGGAAAAGGCCGTGACATGGAAAAAAGGCCCACATATGGAAAAGGCCGTGACATGGAAAAAAGGCCCACATATGGAAAAGGCCGTGACATGGAAAAAAGGCCCACATATGGTGACACGGCTGTGAGATGGTTACAAGGAAGTGAGTTGCAGGAGAGTCCCGATGCTTGGAGGGATGGAGCCGTAGTACCTGGCGGTGTTATATATCAGGTTTCTGGTGGAGATACACACAAAGCAGGGAGGCCGAATGGGCGGGAGTCAGGAAAGGAGGAGAAAGAAAAGCAGCGAGAGCAATGGGTAAGCTACCTTATTGTCAACTAGAACATATGTCGCACATGCATCGCTTGCTTGTACCGTGACAACCACGACTGTCATGCTCGGTACCACGTGCCGGGGAGTCGGGGACCTCGCCTTACATGCTGGTGACCACGCCTTATATGCTGCTGACCACGCCTTACATGCTGGTGACCACGCCTTACATGCTGGTGACCACGCCTTACATGCTGGTGACCACGCCTTACATGCTGGTGACCACGCCTTACATGCTGGTGACCACGCCTTACATGCTGGTGACCTCGCCTTACATGCTGGTGACCACGCCTTACATGCTGGTGACCTCGCCTTACATGCTGGTGACCACGCCTTACATGCTGGTGACCACGCCTTACATGCTGGTGACCACGCCTTACATGCTGGTGACCACGCCTTACATGCTGGTGACCTCGCCTTACATGCTGGTGACCACGCCTTACATGCTGGTGACCACGCCTTACATGCTGGTGACCTCGCCTTACATGCTGGTGACCACGCCTTACATGCTGGTGACCACGCCTTACATGCTGGTGACCACGCCTTACATGCTGGTGACCATGCCCTGGCCGTCACAAGTGAGCACTTGAGCAGTGGTGCAGTCGTCGCCTGCATTCCACCCCTTGAACGCAACCACCTGTCCGCTCACAGTCATGGCCTTCCTCAGGTCCTCGATCACAGGCACTGCCACGCGGGCAAAGGAAACGGAAAACGAGGTGACGAGGAATGCAAAAAACAAAAAACAAAAAAGAGTAAGAAATGACTCATTCGTCTGTGGAGGGATCCAACCGAGGAGTCACCAACGGCAAGCGGCGCAACAAAGAGAGCTTGAAATTCAGGCGTGGCTTTTGCTGCCGTCTGACCCCTCCTTGTCTCGCCACCCGGTCCCATTTCCGGTTTTAGAGTCGTCTCGAAACCGCCCCAGTTGTCGCATGTTCAACTTCAAGTTGCGGCAATAATACTGCCAGTTCAAGTTGTCGGTGCAATGATGGCGACCCGAGGGTGCGGGGTTTTTGCGGGAAGCAGGCTGCTACTCGTCAAGCGATGACCTTGGACTCATGCCAGGGAAGTACCTTGAGACGCATCCCAGGGGATGCCTTCAACAATGGCTGGGTGGAGCAGCAGAGCAGCCAGCAGCAGCGCCGCGCCGAGCAGAAGCTTCTGCGGACGCCGGCGTGGGTCGAGCTGCCGGCTAAGAGACTCCGGCTGCTGGCAGGAAGCGCTGTAACGCCGCTGTCTCCCCCTCATCTTGCCTACTTCTACGAGGAGCAGGGTTCCTGGAGGTTGTTCGGGTGCTGAGGTTGCTGCGCTGTCGTGCTGGAGGTTGCTACTACTATGGACGCTGTTCGTGCCAAGCATACGAGAACCTAGCTCTATCCGTGCTCCGCAGTTTGTTTCTCCACTGGAAACAGCAGCGAGTAAGCGAGGGAATGCAATGTGGTCCAACAGACTCTGTTGGAAACATTCATCCAAAAAGGGGATGGGATGGGAGCGAACGCTTGCGAACGTCTAGCGCACGCCGCTGGAGTCGGTCGCAGCCGAACGTCTCTGCATGATGCAGCGCTGGCAGTTGTTGGGCAAGTCTGAGGTACCGAACGGCCAACAGTCACGGGAATGCCTCGCGTCACCAAAAAGTGAACGTCCCAGCTGAGGTAGCAGCGCGGCGCACCTTACCCAGCACAAAACCCTCTCCGCCCGCCACACGTGAAGCGAGTCGCCGATGAGCGAGCGAGATAATGCGAGCAGCATTTGCGCTGACCTGTTTCACTGTTACGGAATGGGATTCCGCAGGACAGTCCTAGAGCTACACTCCACCAAAGTCAGCAGGGGGTTGGTGGAAAAGCCTATCCTTTTTCCCCAAAGCGAGACAACTTTTTGAGGCCTCTCAAAAATACGTCCTTTCCTTTTTTCCGGCGCGCGGTGGAAGAGTCCGAGGCCGACCGGGTTCAGTTCAGTCCTTGTAAGAATCTCACCCCCCCAATCAAACATCTCGCCAACGGGGTTTCGCTGACCTGTGAGTAGGGTACTCAAGTGGCAAACCAAGGCCACATTTAGAGTGATGCGGGAACTCATGCGTGGGTGCGGGCAGACCAACGAGGAGAGGTCCTGCCAGCGCAGCCTCGACTATAATCCAATCCCAACCGAATCCAGCCGAGCTCGTTTCGCTGCTGGAGCCAGCTCAGCTTCATCAGATCAGCTGTGCTGTGATGATGCTAGGAGTCCTACCAGCACACCTTCATTCCACCAGCACAGACTGTCGGTGGCTCTGCCATCGCCGCAGCGAATAGGTTCATCTGGGGCACGTCTGGAAGTCCGAGCAGGTCGTTGTGTGCAGCGTCGGATGATACGAGCAGCAGTTAACGAGAGGGGCTTTGGGCTCAAAGGTGAGTCAGCTCGGACAGCAGAGCGGTTGGTCAACCACGGGCTCAAGATATGGTGCGTCAAAACGTAGAACGTGCGCTAGTTGCGAGATGCAGCTCGTGTTACTACAGCCTGCTCCAAGCTCAGCTAGAAACTACAGCCAAGAGTCTGCGCAAAACTCCTCTGAATCTTGAACTCCTCCTCGAAATCCTTTCGAACCTATGACGACTCGTCGAATTCTTGAACTCCAACTCTGGAGCTTGTAGCAGCTTATGGCTTCTCAGGAAATATCGTCCACAGATCAGGAATGAAGGGGACACGTGACAGGGTAACCACCCGCTGGGTCGTTGAGGATCAGGCACTGTGCCCTAGGAATTTTGGATATCATCTCCAGGACAGACCTCTTGCCTGAACCCCCTTTTCGATGAGATCGAGCGCTTTGACGAAAATTAAGAATGGTTTTAAATGGTCGACCCTTTTGCGCGCGATGTATGGCATGCCCCCGTTACCCAAAACGGTAGACTCTCTCCACTGTACCAGTTTCGTTTTGATGTGCAGAATATTGGAAATGTAATTTTGGGTCGCTGTGAAAACATTTGCCGGACCCCAATTCAGTTGTTGCGCGAACATGAATTTAAAAGCTGACAAAAATCGAAGCACACGCGTCGGGGCTTTCGTCTGGTTTTTGGGGCAACCGTCAGATTCGGGTATCTGGCCAAAGCTACCCGTCAGAATCCGTGTTCAACACTTTGTTCTGTCAAAATTGACCTGTCAAATTCGGGTTTCACGGCCAGTTCTGCCAAAATTCACCCGTCAGAATCCGGATTCAACAATGTTTTTGGAAAAATCCCCTGTCGGAATCCGAGTTCAGCGAAATCCTCAACCGCTATTTTGTCGAAATCCGGACGTTGTGCCCAGAATGATTGCGCGTGCATTTTTCGAATGCCCCAGCCCTTAATGTGTCGTCATTCTTTGTCGTATTACTCATTCTTAGACCAAACACATGCTGCCCAAACCAGTTGCCCCGTAAAAACGTAGTGGCATCTGAACCCAAAACGAAAACGGGTACAGTCGGGAGGGGTCGACCATTTTGGGTAACCGGGGTATGCCAAACATCGCGCGCAAAAAGGGTCGATCGTTTTGAACCATTCTTGATTTTCGTCAAAGCGCGATATTTCCTTTCCCTTCTCGCTCCTAGAGGGTGCTCGTAGAAGTGTCAGAGCTGGGTGGGTCAACTGTCCTTGTGTGTCCTTGCAACTATATCTATACACCGTCAGATATGGCTGACCATCTAACAGTCGCATTCTAACCTAACGTTGCGAAAATCTCGCCCTCGCGAATGTCCACCCTCGTGAAACTTGTGCGTCTTATCCTCCGCAAACAACCCATTGCGTGGAAAGCTCAAGACCAAGCGTGGCTCCTAATATAGTAAATGTTTTTGGGTGATAATTTTGTGTAGGAAAAGCATGTACATAAATGTTATCAATCCAACACTGTTATGAATTAAACTCAGAGTATAGCGCATAGGGGAGCGTGATTACAGAATGTATTGATTGTGTACTACTCCTTATATTATATTGACTGGCCTTGTGGCTCTTGTTCCAGTGGCTGGACTAGTAGTGGCGCCGTGGGTTGCTCTTGTTTAGTTTGTATTCTTGTTGACTGCGAATCAGCTGCGCTACATCGGCCGGCACTGCTGTTGTCCGCGTCTCTAAATCGGACGGCTGCGATGGCACGTCGACTGCGCAAACGACTATAGCGAAGACTTCCGCTCCCGTGCCCCTGTTTCTGATTCTTCCGCTCCTCCCGGGATTCTGACTTGCGGTGTCCCGACCTGTTACATCCGAAACAACGACCTTTGAAGGCTTTAATTGCTGAGTTCGATGTTGTAACAACGTGTACAGTGGCATGCTCAAATGGTCCCCGTGTGCGGTTTTCATCATAGGAACCCGTCCTTGGTTTGGAAAACGAATCCAACCGCTCCGCAACCCTCTGCGCCTCCATCAAATCTGTAATTTCTTAGACTTGTATTTCCCTACGCAGATCCGGTCGAAGTCCCCGGATGAATTTATCCAAATTCTCGTCATGTGAATGTAGCCGACCTGGTCGCATAGATTCTTGAAGCCGCTGGTGTAGTCCTAGACCGATCCGAGTTGGTGCCACGTGCGAAGGCGGTCGCGCGCTTGACTGCTTGCATTGACGTATTCGAAGCGACGACGAATTCCCGTGCACCACGATTGCCACATCCTGTACTCGTCCACCTCGCAATAACTTCCTGCCTAGTGATTGGTCGTGCGAAAACGCCCGATTACACGTGACGTCCTATCTGGCTCCTGCGACTGAATTATTTGCTCCCACCAATCTATAGCCGGTCCACGTAGGAGCAATACGGCGTGTCGATTTTTTTGTGCGTCGTTGCTGAGGAGGTTGCGGTCGTAAAAAACATTCAGGTGAAAAATCCACCCGCTGACTGACAAGTTGCCCCGCTGGCTCGGGTCGAACGTGGGCAGCCTTTGTGTCTTGAGGATGCCCGGAGCCATATTGATGCTTGTACTTTGCAGGCCCACTAGAAAGGTAACTGGGGGCGGCAGATTTCTTCTCGTCCTTTTCGCCAATTTCTGCTCATCCAATAGCTGGTGGCGGATTGTTTGTCGAGCGGGATACTTTGAGATTTGTGGACCAGCTAAGGCCCAGGTTGAGAATTTCCACACAAAAAAAAAAAAAAAAAAAAGGGGGGGGGGGGAAGGAGAGTGGGGTTGGGACAGGTGGAACAGGACAAGAGGGGGGGGGGGGGGGACAAGAGAGGAGGGGGGGGGGGGTGGAAGGAGATAAGTGGACTGCTTGAGAAAGAGGGAGAGGGGGGGGGTGGGGTGGGGGGATTGGAGGGAGTGTCGTGAAAATGGCTTGTTGGGAGTCATAAAGTAAAGCACTGCATGATTCTTCAAAGCGCTTCGAAACAGCAACGCAGCAGAGCACTTGTGAGCCAAGAGAAGCACTCACTGGTAGTGTGTTGTAGAAAGCAGAGCTCGCAGTCACACCTGGCTTTGCCATGTTAAGCGCTATGTTCTCTTTGATGGGAACCACACAGTTTGCATCCTGCGACCACAACAGCAGGTGAGCAAAGTCTTAAATAGTTGAAGCATTCCCGCAACAACATCACACTGCTGCGCCTGCTACCATGTTCCCGTTAGAATGTTGAAAAACAGTGCTAGTGCAAACGTGAGGAGTGGCAGCCACAGCAGCTGATGTCAGGGAATAGGAGACTGGGTTGTTGTGCATCGCAAGCAAGCAACAGATTGCTAAGTAACATGGTGAGACTCAACGGAAACAGAATAGCAGCAGAAAGTGTGGCAACATGGTGCGAGACTCAACATGGAATCAAACACTGATTGGAACTGCTTAAATTGGAAAGCAAACACTCTGTCCAACAATTGTGCCATTACTGTCTTGCATCCAGCTCTAGCTGGAAAGCAACAGCGGTTGCCGCTCGACAGGGAGAGGATTTTGCAGACTCGTGGGCCAAGTTTCTTCTGTGGGAAAGTCCTGATACAACCAAAGCCCTGCCCAAACCGACTCGACCGTGCTTGGCCGCATGGAACTGCTCAGCCGCTTCTCTATTCTGGTGGGAACGGGCCTGCAAATGGCTGGAAGCGGCTCTCTAGCTGCCTAAGGGCGCTGAAGGGTGCTGGAGGGGGATGGGGCACATGCTGAAACTTGTCCTCTCATAGGCTACATCACCGTTGTCAACACCTGTACAGTCAGTGCTGCTGTCTTCAGCTCCAGCTGGTGTCTACTGGATAGGGAGAGGGGTTTCACAGATTCCTTTGAGGGTCTTGCCTTCTTGTGGAAGGTTTTCCCAAGTACTATGCCAAGTTGTCGAGAGACACGCTGGGGTTGCCCTTGAGATCCTCGGGGAAGGGCCACAGGCCTTTACGCCTGGGGGGTTATGGGCGCACTAACTCAATACTTGAAAAGCCCTTTTTAGCCCAATGTTTAGTGACTGAGTTATGGCATGGTATCAGAGCCGAGTGACTCTGGTTCAATTCCCAGTGCCAGCGCTGCCGAGGCGCTTGTGTCCTCCGCCTATCCCAGCGAGGGGGGGTATCGAGAGACTTGCTGGGGCTGCCCTAGAGATCCTCGGGGAAGGACCACAGGCCTCTAAGCCTGGGCGCACTAACCCGCTACTTAGAAAGCAATTTTAGCTCAGTGGTTAGTGACAGAGTTGTATCACAAGTCTCGAACTGTTGGCAAGTGATGCTGCAAGCAAAGCTCTGCGCAACCCTCTTAGACCATGTTTGGCCTCATGATATCACTCAGCCACTTCCCTAATCTGGCACAAAAAAATGGCTGCTGAACAGGGCCCTTGTTGATGGTCTGCAAATGGCTGGACGAGGCTCTCTACCTTGTCCTACAGGGAAATGTGCCTAAAATTTATGTCACTGGTTTGATGTGTCTTGGATTGTTTGACGCACTTATTGGGCTCCCCAACGTTCAGAATCCAACTTCAGGAATTACCAAAGGAACCATAAACCACGCCCCACCGATCCGATTATTTAGACATATTGGGCTTAAATGCAAATGATGATCTGAACATTACTTTTTAGAGAAGGCAGCTCTCGCTAGGGTAAACATAAAGGCACTTGCTTTGTAGGCTTTCCCCCTATAGTGCCAGAACACCTTTTGTTCAGCTTTTCAAACCGTGCTCGATCACCGCTGAATTCTTTGGCATAAATGCTTGTGCACGGTGTGTTGCCTTTGAAAAACTTTGTGTTGCCTTTCGTGCATCTACCAGCTGAGTAGTCCAGATACTCTGCTTTCACGCAGACCTGCAGCAGGGGAAAGGAAAAAAGAATATGGCTGATCATGTGTGAAGCAGAACACATGCCATAACCAACACCACACCGCATCCCCAGAGATCCTCCAACAAATCAAGGATATCATATTCCAGAAACCATGTTCTCACCTGCACTTTCACACCTCCCGAAACACCCGTGAGGCCCTTGGCAGGATCACACACGAGCCCCGGGTTCATGCGGTAGAGCTCCACCATAGAGACGCCACTCATGGAAGCACCCACCACTCGCGAGCAGTCGCTTATGTCCTTAATTACCGCAGTCGCAAGGCACGTGCGGACCACGCCCAAAGCTTTTTGGTCCCGCTCGACACATAGGGAGCGGGATACGGGGAGACTTGAGCAGCTGATGCCTGGGTTGAGCTTTTCCAGAGAGCCCTTTGGGATCTGGAGGAAAATTTCGACTGATGAACAGGAGTCGCTCTGGTGATAAGCAG